AAGAAAAGGAGAAAAAGAGGCACGTTTAATTCGAGAGTAAGAAATCCTAGATATATTTATACTTAACCGCCTTCGTAAGAGAAACGGTAGAATCGGTTAGTATAGGTAACGCGCGCGAGCGCGCGCGATAATAATAAAGGAGATTAAATCTTAGTATTAATACTAGAGGTATTACTATTATTATTATTATATTACCTATATAGCTAACTACCGCTTAATCGAAAGCGAGTAATTATACGAATAATTATACGAGTAATTATTTTCATTTATAATAGATTATAGAGTATTAAATAAGGGATACGAAAAGTATATAACTTAGGAGAAAATACTACTAGTAATAAACCGGAGTATATACGGATAAGGGAACATAGGAAAGCCCGAGATAGGGCATCTAGTAATCGATTAACCTTAACGAAGCATAGCGAGACTAAGGAATAACCCCTTAGCTTATTATCGTAAGTAAAGGATTATAGTTAACCTTACTATCGTAAGCTTAACTAAGGGGTATATTACGTAGGTATATACCCCTAGTAGGAACTACCTAGCTTACCTAAGCTAGCTAAGTACTACTATATATACCTATAGATCGCTCTATACTCTTTAGTAGCTTTCCTTCTTTTCTAGTTAGTTAATATATACCTTCTTACCCTTATTTCATTACTTTCTTTATGAATAACCTATTAACCTAAGCTTAGCTCTCGCTAGCTACGTAACATATAATTTATAATTTATAGATAAAAGTATTATTAAAGATGTTATATAGTAATTAAACCAGCCTATATAAGCCTATATACTACAAAGCGTAAATGTAGGCGTTTACGTTTTATGCGATAAAAGATAAATGTTGTAATGAAAGCTATAAACTTTAATTATATATTATAAAGTTAATTAAAGAGATATAATTAAAATAATTTAGTATTTAATTTAAAAAATTAATAAATGATTTATATATATATTGAATAGGAGTAGCGTAGGTACGCTATAATAGAGGTACGAAATAAGAACTGCCTAACTGCTAATAACTAGCCTAGTGCCGATTAACTAAGATTATAGCTGTAAATAGCTATAATCGGTTAATCGGCTAGCTGAAAACGGTAGTTAGGAAAGGGGGACTAGAAACGGGAACGAGGAGGATGGCTAGAAAGGTATAGCAAGAAAACGAATAAATGGTTATAGGTCGTAGTATCTATAGGTCTAAGTCTAACTAATGAAAATATAAGTACGCGACCTATATAAATATATATCGAAAAGGCTACGTGGCCTAGATCTACCGTATTACTATAGCCTCCTTAGTTTAATTAATCCGTAAGAAGTAATTAAACTCCTAATAGTAATAGGTACGGTAGCTTTCGTTCCTATTTAACCTAATCTTAATCCCGATTAACCTTAATTAACTAAAAGCTAGCTAGTTTAATTAAAGGCTAATAGAATGAGTTAGGAAATAAGTTAACTAGGAACGATTATAATAATAATAAGTAGGTAATAGGTAGGTGATTATAACCCTACCTGATCCTGAACCTAAACCTAATTAATCCCGAACCTATTTAATCGCTATTAATTAAGAGCTAAGCTAGTTTAATTAACGATTAATAGGAAACGGTAGGAAAGATTAATTAATAAGAATAACTAAGCTAACGGAGCTATAACCTATAAACTAACCTAATTAACCTATTCCTAATTAACCCTGATTAATTAAGAGCGAGCCAGGTTCATTAGGGCTATTAAGAAATAATAGGGATTAATTGGAAAATAGGAACTATAACGGGTAGGTAAAACAAGCGTAGCTCCCGTAAGAAATAAAGAAATAATCCTATACGATATAACGTAATCTCCGTTCTTTTCGTTTATGGCTATCTTTTACCGATCCTTTTTAATTAATTCCTAATCCTATAAACTAATTAATATATCCTATTCATATCCGTTTCTATAATTCGTTTTTAGTAACCGTTCCTATATTCGTCCGGCAGTATCTACCGGGCTTCCCTTAACCCTCGATCCCTCCCTTATACGTAGTTCTAGAGGCTCTAGCTCTTCCTATTAACTATATATCGATAAAAGCGATAAGAGGGGTCTCCGGGTATTAACCTATAACTATTCTATAACTATAACTGTTTTTTTTTTCTAGGCTATCTTATTTAATATCTATTTAATTCGTTCGTATCGGTATCATTTATAGGTTTATCGCGTTAATCGGTAGGTCCCGATTAGGTTCGTAGGTATAAGGTTTATCGGTATCTTATTATAAGGTAAATGAAGGTATCGTAATACTTATCGGTTAAAGAGAAACCTCCCTAGGTACCGTAACTAGCTAGGATAAATAAAGGTAATTAAGATGGTAAGCCTCTTACGGTTAAAATAGATCGATCGGTAAAGAATAGATGCCTTTAAGCGCGTACGAGGTTATAAAAAGGGGTAGTAGCGGTAACGGAGTTAGGTTAACTAAGAAAACGGCTATTTAGGTACTTGAAAAACGACGGAGGTAAAACCAAACGAAAACGGATATAGCTTCTTTAAAAGAAATAATTAAGAAACGAGAATAAGATAGATCTACTAATCGGCGAACGAGCTTTTAGGTAAGCTAATTAAAAGCTAATGGGAGGGCGTAGTTATTAATAGTCGCTATGATTATCTGCCCTTCCTATTAATCTAGCTACCTAAAAAGGCTTAAAAGCTAAAAGCCATGAAAAACGGCTCTAGAGCTACGAAAATAGCTCCTAATTAACTAAAAAATAGAGAATCTCCTAATCGTCGTATCCTAAACCTAATAACTATAAAAACGGTTGCAAAAGGTTACTTTTAAGACTAATGAGGTTACGGCTTAGGCTACTAGGTAGTCGCTATTAAATAGGAGTAGCGTAGGTACGCTATAATAGAGGTACGAAATAAGGACTACTGAGGAGGTACAGAGCGTACGCGATGCTAGAGACCCGGATATGTTTACTCGAAAGTGTACTTTATCGAAGACTATAATACGTACGATAGTCTAGGATGGATGAAACTAATGTCGCTATATTAATTAAGAGGCAAGGAATCTAATGTAGTTATCGTATCTTAGCTATGCCCTTTAGTCGTAGAGATATAGTAGTCGCTAGCCCGAAGGCATAAGAGGTAAGGGAAGAAAAGGAGTAAAACGTAAAAGTTACTTATTCGGCTATAGCGGTACGACGAAGTAACTTAAGCGCCTATAACTAAGATAGATATACTAATCGGAGAACGACGAATCTAATGATAAAAACGAATCTTTAATTAAGGTAAAAATAATAAAAATAGCAATCTAGTTAGGCGATGAATTAAATAATAAGCATAGCATGTCCCGTACTTACGGGAGCTATGGTTACTCTATATAGGCATAAGGCCTATCGTAGCGTATTACGTAATACATCAAGAGGGCATGTCTTACCGCACCACTATACTACTTAACTACTAATAACTAGCCTAGTACCGATTAACTAAGATTATAGCTATAAATAGCTATAATCGGTTAATCGGCTAGCTAAAAACGGTAGCTAGGAAAGGGGGACTAGAAACGGGAACGAGGAGGATGGCTAGAAAGGCATGGCAAGAAAACGAGTAAATGGCTATAGGTCGTAATATCTATAGGTCTAAGTCTAACTAATAAAAATATAAGTACGCGACCTATATAAATATATATCGAAAAGGCTACGTAGCCTAGATCTACCGTACTACTATAATATAGATATTAATATTTACGTAATAAAGAATTATATATTTCTAATTTAATATTTATTAAATAATATACTATAGTAGTATAGTAAGACATATTCTTTTAATGCATTACGTAATACGTTACGATAGGCCTTATACCTATATAGAGTAACTATAGTTCCCGTAAGTACGGGTTATGCTATATTTATTATTTAGTTTATTACTTAATTAGATTACTATTTTTATTATTTCTATTTTAATAAAAGATTTGTTTTTATTATTAGATTCGTCGTTCTTCGATTAGTATATCTATTTTAGTTATAGGCGCTTAAGTTACTTGGTCGTACCGCTATAACCGAATAAGTAGCTTTTACGTTTTATTTCTTTTCTTCCCTTACCTCTTATGCCTTCGGGCTAGCGACTACTATATCTCTATAACTAAAGGGCATGGCTAAGATACGATAACTATATTAGATTACTCGTCCTTTAATTAGTATAGTGATACTAGTTTTATTTATCTTGGACTATCGTACGTATTATAGTCTTTAATAGAGTATACTTTCGAATAAACCTATTCGGGACTCTAATATCGCGTACGCTCTGTTCCTCCTTAATAGATAGATTATTTAAATATAAAATATTTAATATATTTAATTTCATTATTAAAATTATCCTTTTAATATAATGTTATAATTAGAAACCTTTATTAAAAACCTTTTCTTTATTTAAGTTTTTATTTATAAATATTATATTATATAAGTAATGATATATATAATAATAAACTATTAATTAAATTATTATATTTATTTTATTATATCTCTTTAGTTAGCTTTATAATATAAGGTTAAAGTTAGTAACCTTTATTATAATAATCCACTTTAGTTACGTTTTTCTTTATAAACTTTATTCTATATGAGAGATAATTTATATTTACTTATAAATTAAGCATGCATCTATTTATATATTATATAATTTTCATTATATCTTTTAAATTAACGCTATTATATATTATAAAAGTTAATAACTTTTATAATATTACCTGTTTTTAACTACCTATAAATCTTTAGATATTATATTACGTAATACATGATTTATGTATAGTTATAGATTAAGCATTCGTTTATTTTAATATAAAATCCGTTTAATTATATTCCTTTAATTGACTTAATAATATATAATTGAAGTTGATGACTTTTATAGTAGCTCAATAAGGTGGCCCCATTTTTACGTTTGGGTCGATTTTTAATTCGCGAAAATCGTTTTGTCGGATACGCACTAATGGTGCACCGTAGGTAGTAAGCGGGGTCCTTACGTGACACGTGAAACCAGTGTCAGCCCCACAAACTTTTCCTATGACTACCCTCAACTGATCGACCAACTTTCATTCCTCAAAAAACTTTTCGACCTTGATTACTTACGCCCTTGATCTCGAACGCCAATTGGTACAATTACGCGCCATATGCTCCCTTGGTCTCATCGATCCCATTGATTTCATCGGCCTTGAAAACGCAACGAACGCCACTCACAAATATTTCAACATGGCCGAGAAAAAGGCAGACGCCCCGGCAGCTGGCATGCTCTGGGGGGGCAGGTTCACAGGTTGGAATGTCTCGGGAAACAAGCTTCAGATGCAGTATACTGACCTCACGGTGCGCAGGTGCGATTGATCCTCTCATGCATAAGTACAATGCCTCGATCCAGTACGATAAGGCTCTTTACAAAGAAGATATCCTTGGATCGATTGCTTTTGCCAGGGCCAACTCAAAGGCTGGCATCATCAGCGAAGACGAATTTCAGGCGATTGAGCGTGGTTTGCTCCAAGTGATGGAAGAATGGAAGCAGGGAACTTTCGCTATCATGCCGAATGACGAAGATGTGAGAGGTCACTCAATTCTACTCAACTTCTCGAGGCTAACACAATGGACCAGATTCATACGGCAAACGAACGTCGCTTAGGAGAGGTTATCGGTAAGGACATCGCGGGTAAGCTGCACACAGGTCGCAGCCGCAACGAGCAAGTTGTCTGTGATATGCGCATGTGGTTACGCGATCGGATCCGCGAAATCGACAGCCAACTCGTTGCATTCCTCAAGGTCATTATCACGCGTGCCGAGTCTGATGAAATGTAAGCCTAGCCCTACCTCTGGCCAAAAGCGGCCCCCTGCTAACTGACAACCTCAGTAATTATATCATGCCTGGATACACCCACACCCAACGTTCCCAGCCAGTTCGGTGGTCTCAATGGCTGATGTCATATGCCGCTGCGTTCAAGCAGGATCTCGAGCGGTTGCGCCAAGTTTTCGAAAGGGTCAATGTAAGTCCACTTGGTTGTGGCGCTTTGGCCGGCAATCCATTTCGAATCGATCGAAATATGATAGCTGAGGAGCTTGGGTTTAGCGGAATAACCTTGAACTCCATGAATACTTCGGCCGACCGCGATTTCCTAATCGACTTCCTGGTCTGGAACTCGATTTTCACCAACCACGTCAGCAGGTGGGCTGAGGACCTCATCATGTATTCGACATCTGAGTTCGGTTTCGTGCGGCTGGCCGACGCCTATTGTACGGGTAGCTCTTTAATGCCTAATAAATTCAACGGGGACTCGTTAGAGCTTCTGCGCGGCAAGTCAGGGCGTGCTTTCGGTCAAATGGCTGGGTTAATGATGGTGAGTCCTCATATTGACATCTCGGCCAGTTGCCTTGGCTTTGAGGGTGACCAGGAGCGTATCGAGAGTAGCGACTAACTATTCACTTGGAAGACTCTGAAAGGCTTGCCATCTTGCTATAATAAAGATCTCCAGGAAGGGTGGGAGCCTATGCTGGATTCGGTTCGGACTGTGTCGGATAGTCTAGGCATAGCCAATGGGGTCATTGCTACATTGAAGGTGCGGCCAGAGCGGATGGAGGCTGCTCTGGACAAAACGATGCTAGCCACTGATGTCGCAGAGTGGTTGGTGAGGAAGGGATGTCCGTTCAGAGAGGCTCACCACATCTCTGGACGCGTCGTTGCACAGTCTGAAAAGCTGGAAGTTTCGATGGACAAGCTGACCCTTGAGCAACTGCAAGCCATTGATTCTCGGTTCACAGCAGACATTGCGGAGGCATTCGAATATGAAACGAGTGTCGAAGCGAAAACGGCTAAAGGCGGTACCAGTCGATCAAGCGTGCTGGAGCAGATCCAGGTACTCAGGGCTATGTTAGATTAGGGGTTTGCCTGGTGCAGGATGCGGCCAGAGCAAGGGAATCTGGGACGGACATCGCGAATAGCCCGCTTCATTCTGTGGAAAAACATATGATTCAAGAGCGACGCTCTTGAATGAACCAAAAAGTTCCAAAAATGACACAATGTTATTAGAGAACTCGAACAGGACAACCGCCGGGCGAGCCGGACATGGGAGGAGTCGTTGTCGATCAATAAACGTTTAGTCTTGAAGGCATCTTCCTATGAATGGTTGAGTTCTTGAGAATCGGCAGTCGAGACGCCGACTTGCTGCCAATAGGAATACGCAGAGGATGTTTGTCTAAACGAGCCATTGCAAGCAGTAGTCACTAGCTATGTCTACTATAGCTCCCGGGATGTTTCATACAGGATCAGCTACAACCCCATCTCGTTACCGTCTCTTGAGAGCTCGAACGCACGAGGTGGAACTACAACTCTATTAACCGCGTCAGTTTGCTATGCCATTACCACAAGGCGATACAAGCCTATTAAGGGGGGAATTTAAAGGGCCTCCAATACTGGAAAAGCAATACCTGTAAGTTATCTACTTGCCTAGCTTATCTTGCTTCTATAATTATTTGAGCTCTATTAAGTATATAGTTTATCTTTACAGTGTCTTGATGTCCCATGTCCTTTATTGAGAAAGAATTAAGATAGTTAGATTAGAAAACGATTCCTAGATAACGAGTACTAGTTAATAGTAAATTAATTTTACAGCAACAAAGACAGGGGGAGTAGAAACCATACATATTGTACATGGGGTCTAGAAACTAACCCCTGTAAGTTTGGGCCATTTTTGGCATTGCAGCAACTTTAACCGGGGTGGCAGATTGAGGCTCCCAATACTGCCATAGTCAGCAGGCCAAGCACACCTACCACACACCCACCGCACACCCACTGCACAGGTTAAAGCAGCAGCAGCACCGGCCCTCTCACGAAGAAGGAAATGGGCGAGGGCAAGATTCGGGCAGCATTCTAGTCTGTATTGAAGTATAAAAATTTCCAGCTTCGGTGGTGGACGCTCTGCCCAACGAGTCGTGCCGCCTTACGGTGGTAGTGGTCTTAGAGCAAGTGTTCCTACGGCGATATATGACTGCCCAGATCCCGCTACCTAACGGGAAGTCCCAAGTCCCGGGAAACGAGTCTGCTCGCGTCACCCAAGGTTGGTTGGATCCTTTCGCGATCAGCTCTACGTTAAAGCCAAGGACGACGAGGACTAGGCCGACGCCCGCAGCGGCCTGGGCAATCTATGAGACCGTTGGCTCTGTTAATGTCACCTGGCGTGCTCGTATCTGGCGACTTCGCCCAGGTTGGCGCATATTTTATCTCGGGGGCAGCGACTGTCATAATGAAGAGATGGTATCCTGGAACCAAAACGACGTCCCATGGGACCAACCCATTCGAGCACGTGGCACATCTCCCCGTGTGAGTTCAGTGTCGACAGTCAGACCTGAACCTTATATCAAGCTCGTATTCAGCGGGCTTTGGTATCTTTTTGTTGCGCAAGTACTGCGTAGTGTTAATAGTGACGTGTGTGCGTCATGACCACCTACGAGTCGATCGATGTTTTGCTACGCAGGACAGGACTTTTGAAGTCGGGTTCCTGTGGGCGCGCAGGCACGCAATCGGTCACGTGCAGCCACAGGATGAGCCCTGCCCTAGTGGCAGCCAATCGGGGATAAAAGGCACGGAAAACGGCTCGCAAAAGGCTACGCAGATAGCTGCAATCCTTCAACTATTCACCCTTTCTTTAGACGGCCACAGTTCCTAAATATTTCACAGTAGGAGCGATACTGGGGCAGGTATACCTTCGTCAACCGATGACGAACCCCTACTTAGTCCCGACGGCTGGCCCATATCAGCTACTACACCAGCTGATGCTGGAGCGTATCGACGTGGCGACAACGCTGGCGACTGTCGGCGAGAAAGCTATGACGCGTATGCCATTCCCTGTTATCTCCCATCCAAGAACCCCCCTTTATTCTAGGGCGAAGTACCTAGGCCTGAATGGAAATTCAGTACAAGGTGAAATCATTTTCGGGATTCCTCCCGAATCAACGAGTGGTGGGATCACAGGGATGGCGAAGAAGTCTCAACTTTACTAACAGCAGCCAGTAGAAACTACAATCATCACAATAGCACCTCTTACCCTCGCTGTGGCTCCAGCTGGCCGCAGCATCAGCTATAGAGACACCTCTCTATCCATGTCATGAAGACAACACATGGGCCCCGCGGGTGTCTTAAGAGCAGCGAGGCCTTCCCACCGTTGCCTAGCCGCCGCGTTCAGTGCGTCTCTCTCTGAATGCTGCTAGCATTCGCCTAACTCTAAAGAAAAAAAATGAGAGGTCGTCGACGCATAAACTTATCGCCGCAATCAATTACGATGGTCTCCTCCTCAGCTCGGCTACACCAATGATGAATCACCCCAGCGATAATCTGGGGTATCTCCGATTTGCCCGATTTCAATTTGCAGGCTGGCGGTAACCACCTCCCAACCCTCTGCCGCTCCCCCCTGTGAGGCACACCTGCCTCGACAGACGGGGGGACGGGGACGAGAAGGATCCGGGTCGAGCTCAAAACACATGTGGCACCCCGGTATACCGCGAATTCTATGTAGGCGGTCCGGTCGGTCTGAGCGGCTGATTCATGCTCGTAAACCGCCATAGAACCACGAAGCTCCACGCCAAATATTACAACGAAATGAGAACCAACGTCACCGACATAAACGGCGAAATCAGAACGAACCTTATGGAAGCTTCCTAATTAATAACGCTGCGACGGCTGCTACTGTCCGAGTCTCGAGCCACTACGATTACATGATTATCAAGGACATCTTATAAACCAACATCAACTTGCTGCCGACCGAGCCTTTCGTGATCAACGAAACGCATTAAATACTTTCTAAACACGACGTTAAGCTGCTGCTAATCATCGGCATCCAAAGGGGGGCTATAACCCCTCCATCTTTCGACGTGTTATTTTTACCGGGACTTATTCTATAGTCGAAGCCATTTTCGAATACCTATAAATAATAACGAAGCAACACGATTACGACAATCCTATCGTCAATCCAGCGGGGCCTCTAGTATCTAACTGTACCACGAGACCCGGTATAGAAGGTGTAAAAGGAAGCCCCAGGTATATACAGGCGGCAGGCGTCCGTACCGGCAACAAGGATGAATATACCTAACAATATCGACACCAATCTCCGTCTGAAGAAGCGACGCCAACGGACCTACGGGCTAGTGGCAGCCACCTCCTAACCCTCCGCCGCCGCCGCCGCCTCCCCGCGAGGCACACCTACCTCGACGGACGGGGGGTGCGGGGACGAGGGGGATACGAACAGCATACTAATATAGGTGTATACACATCCGTGTATGTGCACCTATACCCCATCCTCTCAACATACAGCATACAGAAACTACTGTTTCCTGGGGTGTGGATATGGTAGTACTCCCCCTGTTGCCCCCTCCCAGCACTGAAAGACATCCCCGCACCTATTGGTGCCTCCTCGCGGAAGATACATCCGCTCCCGAGACACCCAGATATGACTTCGATATCGAGACCTACGCACAGGAATTTACACACCTAAGCAACACAGCGGCCATTCGCCGAGCGTTTAGTTTACAGAAGCTGTGTTGGCTCCGTACTACTAGCCTCTTACTCTCTATGAGCGACGCCGAAACTGAACTCGAGGAGATTCTGCGTGCGGCCTTGTGCACGTAATATCGGTCACGCTGTGTTGTTGATCCTGCTTAATTGCCTCCTTTGGACTGATCCCACGCACTGGCTGATCTCGCTGGCTGATCCTATCAGCTCCCATTATAGTCTCCGCCTCGCCTTCTCCTCCCATGCTCCCCCTTTCTCCTCTTTCGCCGACTTACCACCTCTTCACCTCGCCCGTCAGCACCATCAATATCATCACCATCAAGCTCCGTCGTCCCGTCATCTCGTCCCCTCTTAACACACTCTGAGCCGCCACATCCCATTCTCCCCTATACACCTCTCCCGCAAGTAGAGCGCAGGCCGCTCTTCGTGTCTCTGAGCCGAGCCCCGACTTTCTAGCGCCTCTAAGAGGTTCCGATCTTCTCGACCAAGAGATACTAAATGCTGATTAGCAGCCGTCTGCTGAGAACCCCACCTACAGATATAGCACATCATACCTACATACTACCACACTACGCTACCGCTCTCGCGCGGCCGCGTAACGGTGTACAGCGCTCGAGCATTCCAGCTCTTGGCAGGACCCGACGGGAACTCTCTCCCCTTCCAGCTCTCTCTCGCACCGAAAGAGCTTAACAGGACTGTATAGCCACTTGTCACCGCCACCGGGGATCGGGGGCGGGTTGGCTAACAGCCAACTCTCCGCATGAAGATGTACAGGGATATATACGTCACGTACGGGATGTCCTTATGAGCCTACATCAACAAGTCGTAGGATGTAGGCGTCTACGTCTTACCCAGCACAACACCACCAGTGGAGGTGGTGAGCCGCCCACCGCCGTCACGAGCGATCTGCCCGCCAGCGGCCCCGGCCCCTTCACGGCCGCTCAGCTCGCCCCTATTGCCGCGAGCAATCCTTCTTCTGCCCCTACTGCCTCAGTAGCAGTTGCCGCCACCCCCGGCTCAAGGGCCACTCGCGTAGCGGGTAGGGTCGCGCCGTACGGCAAACCCCGTATCACTCGTTAGCGCGTTCTAACCGCAGCGAGCACGGGGCACACCGGGTACAGAAGCCTATATATATACAATCTACCAAAGATCGAACTAGACCGCCAGCAAAAGATGTCAGCCCTGGTGGCCTTCCTCACATCTGATCAAACCAACACGAAGCCGCGCAAGCAATGCCAAAACAAGAATTCGCGCGGCCCATGTGAACAATACACCTATTGAGACACGTTAAAGCACTTCAACGGCGCCTGTTCCAACTGCCAATTCTCCAGCACCGCATCGGTTTGCTCCTTTTACAACGGGAATACCGAGTGACACGGATATGAATAGGATGAGGGAAAGAAACATTACTTCACGGAACGAAAGTGTACCAGTTGTCGGACGACGTACCCCAACATCATTATAGGGGGGGCATTTGGCAACGGTGCCTTTTGCAAGTCTCACACTCGGGTAGTGGGTGGATTCTCCATCCCGGATATATTAATAACAACTCCAACAATCACTGCTCGACTACTTAAAGTTGTCGAGCAGTCTCGACGCCAAGGCAACATGGACGGCAAATATCCAGACGAGACCTCTGACTACGGAGGTAGAAGCCTCGTCTAAGTAATAGCAAAGGGCGGCTTCGCTTGCCTACGGTGGTGGCTACCTATTACTCCATGACGTTCCGGATTCGTAGCGTCAGAGGTCCTCGCGGCATATTTCAAGTTCCGTACCTACGTGCTTGCCAGAGCACCGAGCCATGGAGCGCTTTTCGAACCCCTGGAAAAGCTCGAGTTAGGAAATGAGGAGTATAGAAGCGTATCTATCGTCACTACATCAAAGGCTCTCATTACCGCCTTCCCCGAGTATTTTAAATCTTAAGGCAACATACGAGGGCGAGAAGAGGTACCTCTCGCTATCTACGGAGGCATGAGACAGGGCAATTCGCCTCGTCAAAATTTACCTACTATCGCCGACGTCGCGTCATACCACCCAAATACAGCTTTACGCAATTGGGGGCCCCTCTCGCCCCCGCGACTCTCAGGACCCTCACCGAGGACTCTTTTCCGGCGGGGAAGGGTCCTCGTACCAGATAACAACGACGCGGAGACGGTCAGCGAACCAAGACCCCGCGCCAAACCCCGATAACGACCTCCTAAACCAACAGGAGTCGACGGTTAAGGCTCAACGGAAGGAGATAAGCAGCCTTATCAAGGAGACCGTAAAAACGGAGGACACCTGGGCCTTAAAACGAGCTCGAGGCTAGCGTCACGCGTCTATAGGAAGAAATACGTGTGTACTGCGCCTTACGACAAGGCTAGATATATATAGGGCGGGGGAGGGTTGTGTTGCGACGACATGTCGATAACGTAGATGGGAAAAAGACATACAACAGCATACTGGCATACAGGGGGGGTTATGTTGCGACGACACGTTGATAACGTAGATAGAAGAAAGACATACAACAATATAAATACTGTGAGCCCCGAGTTGGTTCTAATAGTGACTGATGGCACAGTAACGCAAATTGACTGCCCATCGCTCTTATACCCTCGTCACAAACAGTAAAAAAGAAGTCGGTCATCCGTCATACTACATAGTCCCAGGGGACCTTCTCATATTTGCTCTCTCTATCCGTAGTTATGAAGGGTATCGCTGCCGTGTTCTGAAACGATTTAAAAACCACCCGTCCGGTACAAGCGATCCAGGCCAGGCCATATACAAAAAGAGCCTGCCTGCCCGCCCGCGCTTGCTTTAGTACACGCTTCCTCTTATACTCTTATCCTCCCTCTCGGCCTTGTCGAGGTCGTCTTCAATCTCGGCCTCGTCGCCTCCTTCCGACCCCTGATCCGAGTTCCCCGGGGCGTCCCCGAGCCGATTGGCGTGGGCGTGGGTGTGCCGGACGCTCGGGTGCCAGGCTGGGCCCTTGCCGTTCGCCGTCGCCGTCGCCGTCGTCGTCGTCCCGCCGTGCTTAACGCGGGCAGCCTTGGATGCGAGACGCTCGCGAGCGTCGCTCTCGGACAGCTCCTCCTCCTCAGATGCATGTCCCGAATAGGTTCCTCCAAAGTCGCGACCGACGTGAAGGAATGTGTGTATCTGAGGAGTCTTGAGAGCGTTTCGAATCCGGTCGTCGACGGTGATGAATGAAGGGGTTCCATCGGGCGAGGAAACGACTTCTTCCTGTGCCTTGGTAACGTCGATGTGTGGGGTTAGCTTGCCACGGGGGTCATCAGAGTCATCTTCAGAGTTGGTGGGGCGTTGAACACGCTTGCCTGGGGCTCTGCGACTGGCTATAGTGGCGTGGGCGTCGGGTACAGCATGAGCAAAGCCGATCTTGGCATCGTTTTCGTCATGCAGCCGCAGCTCAGCCAAGTCACGTCGTATCTTGAAGGTCTTGCCGTGGTTGCAGCCCTGGGGACAGCCGCCCCATCTGCGCATCGGGATGGGGACCGAGTTTTGCCTCTCGAGCTTGTTGGGCGACTTCTCCTTGCCGGCATCGGCTAGGCCCTTGGCTTCGTCCTCCTTGGCCTGGAGGGCGGCCCGCTCTCGCCGCAGCTCCGACCAGGTTCGGAGCTTGTTCTCGAGGTCGTATTTGCCGCTGTCTTTCTGCTTCGTCATGATGAGAAACTCGCAGTGGTTGACGTTGCGCAGGTCTTCGAAATATTCGACTGAGAAGTGGTACCACTTCATCAGGAAGACGCGAGACATGAGTCCGTGTGTTACTGGGTGCGAGTGCAACTTGTCAGTCGTTCGCCGATACCGCAAGACAGAGGGTAGGAGAGTGTATTATTGGGGGGGGCTACGGTAACATACCCAAGACACAGACGCTGGGGAAGTCTTCTTCGCCGAACTGGCGCCAGAGGCTCTCGTTGAAGCCCGAGACACGATCATATGCGTCAGCAGCGCTCTCGCCATTGGGGATACGGTAGAAAAAGTGACCGTAGTCAGCACGCTCCTGCCACATGCGCTCCATCTCGGCGCTGCAGGGTTGGAAGTTGCCAAAGTCCTGCTCGCGCAAGCGGGGCTCCTCGTAGATCTTCATATTGGTCCGCTTGAAGGGGGACGGGTCGGGGTCGTCCGAGGTCAGCGTCTCGAGGATCCCTTCAGTGGTCTCCCTCGTTCGTTGATACGGCGAGGTGTAGAACTGCAGGGTATCGTCAGGGCGGAGCATGGCGCGCAACCGGCGGCCGGCATCGCGGGCCTGCTGCCATCCTTCCGGCGTCAATTTGACCCGGTGGTCGGGGATCGTCTGGTGGATCTCGCGGTTCTCTATGCTCGTGGTTAGTCCAGCGGTCCGTCGCGCGCACGCAGAACGGTAGGAGGAGAGGAGGGGGAGCATACTGTTGCCCTCGGACTGGGCGTGCCTGATGAGGATGATGAGTCTTGGGCGGCCCATGGTGGAAAGCGAGAAAAGGCGAGGAAGGTTAGGGGAGAAGGGCGAAACGGTGCGGAAAGATGTCGGTACGGCAGGCGGGTATTTCAAGGCAATATAGAGGCGCGACGGTTGGTCGAGGCGCGGCTGGGATATGGGCTGGTCTTGGAGGGGTGACCAGACAGGGGAGATAGGTCACCTCTTTTTTGGTTCCTTGCGGGAAATGAATGGTCGGCGGTGGGGCGGCGACGAGGCGTGGCAGACAGGTTCGTACGACACGTTGGTCGTTGCTCTTCCCAGCGATCAATCACGGCGAGTTACGAAGCAGGGCTGGCCGGCTGAGGCATATAAGAAGGGCAGAGAGCGGCGTTGCGTCGCGCACAGCCATGGGAGAGTAGCCAATGGCGGTGACTCTGGTCGACGTCCCGTGGGCTTGGGCGTATGTGCGTAGGGGTGTCGGCATGCGAGGTGCTGTCGTCGGGGAGGGCGATGGCGTGAGTGCGCATGCGCGGGTGAGCTGAGCGAGTGAAGCGGTGCGTGTGCCTGCGTGCGCCTGCGTGTACCTGCGTGGACGGCGTTGAGCGCGGTGTCGTGGGTGGCAGAGGCAGAGGGGAGAAGCGAAGAGGGTGGAGGGAGGGAGGAGAGCAGAGAGAAGAAAGAGGGTCGAGGCGGTGCCCCGTCCGACCGGATGCCACTGGTGGGCCTGGGCAGCACCGCCGGTAGTACCCGGTACGTGTCTGTGCGCGTGTGCCTCTGCCCAGGGGCATGTACCGACTACCTCCGCCAGAGATCGGCGGCTTAGAAATCGGCGCAGGCGCGGCCTATCGATGTTACGGCCGGGCGGGCGTCGTTTGGGTAGGCAGTTACCTTAGGCAGTTCTAGGTAGTTAGCCGCGCCTGCCCTCTTCTCGTCCGGGCTTGTTTCCTTCTGGATACTAGGCAGGTACCCAACACTACAGGTACCTGCGTGTACCTCCTAGAGGAGATTGGGTACCTAACCTTAGGTACCTGACCCGGCGTACCTCTCATATGTCGTTGGCCGCCCGTCGCGCAATTTAGCCGTCTGCCCGGTCCACGGAACCTGGCCGTCCCGGCGGCTGCGAGGTATCGCGCAGGTAGCGTATGCGTGCGCACGTGCCGGACGCACCAGCACGGCGACCTGGGCGGGTACGCAGGTGTACAAATTGCACGCACCAGGTACATGGTACCTCTAGCCTACGCGAGCAGTCACAAAGTGAGGTCACCAACGCTGGCACCCGCTCCCCACTCCTCGCCTTTTTTTTTTCTCGAAGCCCCCCCTGTCAGCATCGTCCGTGCCTTTTTCCCCATCCAGCCTCATCATCATCATATGATGCCCACCGCATCGTGTCCACCTCTCGCAGCTCGCAGCCTCGTCCCTGCATGAAAAACAAACCACCACGAATGTTCCCCCTATCGACCCGGCACTGTCCATCCGCTCGCCAGCTTTCTCCATCCGTCGTCTATCGTCCATCGTCCAACCGTCTCTCCCTCGACCCGAACTTCTCCTGTCAGCGCGCCCTCCCCAACGCCAGCGCCTGTTAGCAGCATCCTTCTCCCCCCCTCCCCCTTTTTTTTTTTTTCCTTTCTCGCGCTCGCCCGTCCATCCCCGCCGGTTCGCCAGCGTCGGGACCGAAAATAGAATTGTTTTCCCAAAAAACGGACGAGGCGCCGGGCATCACGCCACCAACGTACGACCGCGCCCGAACCCGGCCTAGGCGTCGCGAGCAAGATCCCTCGACGACCCCTAAATCGCGACCAGAGCCAAGCTTTCGGGCTCTCGCTGGCCCACCGGCTACCACCCGCACACGCGCGCGCGATAAAGAAGGAGGGCACGTGGGCTGAAGAAGACGAATCTCAAAGCAGAAAAGAAGTAGAAGGACGGGACGTAGGAGGAAGCCGACAACCAGGTCACGCCAGACCGAGCTAGCGGGACGACCACACCCAACCCACCCAAACCCACCTTCTCCGGGGTTCCCCGTCTGCCCCCCCCCCTTCCCCTCGCTCCCCCACACCCCATCCCACGCCCAGCCAGCCATGTCGGGCGAAGGACCCGAGAGCATCCCGACGTCGGCGGACCCGCGGTCGAAGCGCGCGGTCAAGAAGCGGGCGCTGACGCCGCTGTCGGCGCAGGCGCGGGACGTGGACGCGCTGTTCGCGAAGCCGGAGCGGGAGATCGCGCTGCCGGCAGCGGCGGCAGCGGGGGGCGGCGCGTCCGGCTCGTCGTCGCGGAAGCGCGACCTCCCGCTGCCGCCCGAGATCGTCACCAACGTGCAGGGCTCGAGCGCCGGCGCCGGGTCCGGCGAGTTCCACGTGTACAAGGCGAGCCGCCGCCGCGAGTACGAGCGCCTGCGCCGCATGGACGACGAGGTCGCCCGCGAGCGCGCCGCCGCCGCCTTCGAGGCCGCCCGCGACCAGCGCGAACGCCGCGACGACGACCGCACCCGCCGCAACCGCGAGAAGCGCGAGCGCGCCAAGGCCCGCAAGGACAGGGCCAAGGCCAAGGGCGCCGACGGCGAGGGTGGCGACGCCGCGGCCCCGACGAGACCCCCCGCGAAGCCCGGCGTCAAGCCCAGAGCCGATGTCACCAGGAGGGCTGACGGCGGCGGCGACGACGACGACGATGATGGGGTGGCGGGGTCGCCGCGAGGAGAGAACGGGCTAGCAGCGGCAGAGGAGGAGCCGAAGGGGATCGTCATCGAGGAGGATTAGACGGCCGCCGGGACGCGGAGGGATTGATACGGATAGGGAAAAAAAATAATAGATACCCCCAACCAACCCTTTTTTAATGATTGTCTACCGCTAGTATGAGGACAACTGTACTCCGCCACGGAGGTTGGCCATGCGTAGTTCGGAGTAGTACCTACTATCTTCGCAGGATGTCGAGGGGCCGCGGTTGGTCCTCGCATTAATATAGCCTTTGATATAACTATATATATACATGTACGTGAGAGAGCGCGCGCGCAAGATAGATAAATGCCAACGCTGCGTCTGCAGCAATTCTGCCTGTCTCTCAGGTCCCCGAGACGCCGCCTAGGGAAATCACGTCATGAAACGGGGCTGAATTGATGATGGCAATGATAAATGACGACGCTCTCGCATCGAGTCGATCCAAGTAAAAACACCGTCCCTGTCTCCCCTCCTTCTCTTATCCCGGCCTGCCTCCCCAGCCATCGCTACCCTACAGCCTAACCCAGCCTATACCAAACCCGCTTGCCAGACAGCCGCCGTGCTTAACAACAAAAAAACGAGGAAACGAGAAGAAAAAAAAGAACCACTCGACTCCAGCGCACCGTGCGGGGGGAGTAAACGCCTTTATATGTGGAGAGAGAGAGAGAGAGAGAGAGAGAGAGAGAGAGAGAGAAGGGAGGAGGAGGAGGAGGAGGAGGAGGAGGAGGAGGAGGAGAGCGGGGAGGATAAAAGAAAGCATACGTGCGCACGTCACCCGGCGAGGAGAGCCACCAGTCAGCCATCCCCCAGCTGCACTGGAGCCAGAGGCCGTCTCTCCCTCCCTCGTGTCCCTCTCTATCAAACAAGAAACCATGTGTAGCCGCCGAGTCGTAGACGCACGACGGACCGTTAAAGACCCAGATAGCCGCCCGCCCCTCCCCCCTTCCGCCCCCGGCCTCACCGGACCTATGGTTATTGACCTGGATTTGTACAAAATGTGACTGCCTCCTCGAGTTTTACAGCCCTCCCCGCTTATACCCGGTCGAGTTTCCTCCCTCAACCGCTTAACACGTCTTCGTCCATGCCCGTCCCCGTTTTACTGGTACATGTGTCATCAAGTAGGAAAAAATCAGAACGGTTCGGCCTCCAGCCTCGACTGGTCGGCGACGCATTCGGGGTTCGTAACGCTCTGGTTCTGTTTTCCTTTTCTCTTCGAAACTCTATCTCCCGAGAACGCCGTGCATATGCATTGAGAGAATGCCCCGCGAGTAGCGGCCGCTGTAGATTGACTCGCCACCGGTCAGTCAGAAGAACTTTGACATTGCCGTACTTAGTTCGACGAAATCGACCGGCTTCGTGACATAGGCGCTGAACCCTGCTACAGTGCACTTTTCCTGGACGTCCGACATGACATTCGCCGACAGGGCAATGATGGGCAGTTCGCCATAATTGCGCTGCCTCTCCCACTGCCGAATCTCCCGGCAAGCTTGATAACCGTCTTTGCGGGGCATATGGAGGTCGCACTATCGTCACGTCAGCCTTGATGAGCCATGCCGCGCCCTCGATACCTCGCCAGTTCGACTCACCAGTATCAGTGAATAGTAGCCCGGCGGGTTTGCAAACACTTTTTCTGTACACTCAACCCCGTCCGAGGCAATCTCTACCTCGATTCCCACTTTCTCCAAATATCGAACCAAAACTTTCTGGTTGACGGGGTTGTCTTCGACGAGGAGGACCATGTATCCCTTGTTGCCAATCCGCTTCTCGACGTCCAGGTAATTTTGCTTTTGGTTTTCCACCATTTGTGCGGCGCTGGAGCGATTCAAATCCACGCTTAGGTCGCGTTCTCTCGCCGGATCGAAGATGACCGCAAACCGAGACGGTTTCACAGGTTTGTAGACAAAGATGATTCTTCTCTCTGACAGCAGTTTCTGGTGCTCGTCATCTGAGGCTAATTTCAAGACGGCCTGTCGCTGGACCGAATCCGATAAGATCAGAACTGACGTTATACTGCCCAGATTCGCAATTATCATGTCGACGACGCCTACGATCTCTTCGGCTGAGGGGAGGTTTAGGACTACGTGGGTCAACGCGACGGATTCGCGGCCCCCAATCACCGCTTCGGCCTCAGACACGCTTGCCATCGCTGTAATCTGGTGTGGCACCTCTTTCGGTAGCGTCATTCTGATGTGTTTTGTGGTAGCTTCTCTGCTGTATTTCTGAGGGCAGATGACGAGGATCGAATACAGTGGCGGACGTAGTCGTGCGAAGTCTCCCCCTACCCTGGAGTCGTCGGGAGTAGGTATTATCCGGGGCGATAGTGATCCGGGTGGCATCTCAAGCGTCATCTGAGAGAGGTCTTGTCCACTTGCCTTTGCAGCTTCGCCGAAGTGAGCGAGACCAACATTCACCGATGAAACGGACGATCTCGTGGTGTTTTGAGTATGGGCAGAGCGCAGTGAAGGGTCAGAACTGGGGGACGACCCCGGAGTGTGCGACACGGTTTCGGCATCGGAGCCGGGACTGGCGGTTGGGATAACATCCATCTCTCCGTGGAGTAGAAGCGGCTTGATGACCTGTGTTGACTTATCTGCTGGCAGCTGAGCAGACGCCGTCATCGGCGGCGTGCCGGTGATGCTGGGGTGGTCATCGGGGCTCGGTAGGTGAAATTTTGCGGTAAACGTAAACGTAGAGCCTTTCCCAAGAATGGCGCTCCCGTCCATCTTACCCCCGTGGAGCTCTACAAGCTGCCTCGAAATCACAAGGCCGAGCCCGCTGCCGCCGTGCTGCCGGGTACTGCTCCCATCGATCTGGCTGAATGGCTTGAAGATGAGCTCAGCTTCTTCCTTCGTGAACCCACGACCCGTATCGATGATTGAGAATTCGAGCATAATTTGATGTTCCCCGAGCTCCGCCTCGTTATCCGAGGAGACTCTGCAGCGGCTGAAGACCTCCCCTGAGGTAGTGAATTTGATGGCGTTTCCGATGACGTTAAGCAGTACTTGTCGAATTCGCACCTTGTCGCCTTTAACCCAAGAGGGCACATCCTCTTCGACGATATAATTCAGCTCGAGCCGCTTTGCGATTGCCATTGTCGAGACCAGTTCGTTGACATCTTCGATGAGCGATCTCGTGTGAAACCATTCAAATTTTAGCTTCATCATGCCAGCGTCGACCTTTGACAAGTCCAGAATGTCGTTGATAATCATCAGGAGACTCTTGGCGCTAGTTTGTATGGTGTTGGTGTAATCCCTCTGCTCTTCGTTGAGTGTCGTATCTTGCAGGAAACTCACCATCCCCGATATGCCGATCAGGGGAGTGCGAATCTCGTGGGACATGTTGCTCAAGAATCTACCTTTGGATTCCATAGCCTCTTTTAGCTTGGCCTCTAGCAGCTTATGGTCATTGATATCGGTTGCCGAGCCAAAGTAAGAACTCTTCCCGTCGCCGAAGCCAGCGTTGTCAATCTCCACACATCGAACCAGATGCCATCGGTACTCGCCAGACTTCGATCTGAGTCGGACTTCTGTGGTGTAGGAAAGTCGACCGTTGCTATCGGTAGCTACTTTGAGAATGCCCTTCTTCGCCAAATCGCTCAAATCGGTACTGACCGGATTACGGGAGGAAGGATTGCTGGACTTCTTATTCCGGTACAATGCCTCCAAGTATCCCCTGGAGGCGCCCGTCACGGTAGACGCATGTTCGTTCGGAGCCATGGTATCAGTGCCAGGCTTTAACGGGTCAGTCTCTTCTCTCCCATCCGAGAAGACGGACGTGAAACGATTGGGCGGTAATCGGCATTTCGCCAGATCGTCCGGATGCACAAAGTCTATAAAGCCCAGGCCCAGCGCGGCTTCGTCAGTCTGGCCGGTGTAGGACAGCCATTGGTCGTTGGCGAATGTAATGCCATCATTTTCGGTTGCGGTGAATATTATCTGGGGGATCAAGTTCGCCAGGAGACGGTGCTTGGCCTCCGAGACTTGAATCTCTTCCTGGCGAAGCGCCATGAATTCCGCCACCTTTTGGTCGTGAATATCCATGTAAGAGCCGATGAATTGCACGATAACACCCCGTTTATCCCTTGACGCTACTGCACGGGCCTGATGCCACCGATAGGCACCGTCGAAGCGACGGAGGCGAATAGTGTGGGCAAATTGATCCCCCGACCTAAGGGAGTGAGACCAGGCGCGCATGTAGTCCTCACGGTCTTCCGGGTGAAGGCTACCCCAGGGATCCGAAACCAAATCCGCCAGAGTCTGGCCTCTATAGGTCAAGTATCGACTATTGACCCAGACAATCTCCCCGTGTACCGGCAGCGCCACAAAAACATGCACCGGTAGCAAGTCTAGCATAAGACCTTTCAGGCGATCCGAAGGCGGGAGCATGGTGACCTGCGGCGCGGACGAAGACCCCGGCCGTGCGGGCGTGGCGATTTGGGATGCATGTCTCGTAGGCAGAGCAGCACTAGACGGCAAAGACTGGAGGGTCGTCGAGAAATCGCCGCCGTATGAGTGCAGCATAGTATGCCTCTGGCCTCCAGGAGACAAACCCGGATTGGATAACCGTTTGCGGCCGTCGTCAGCATCCTGATGAGAATATTGACTCTCCGTCCCGTTGTGTAGCTCTATAGAATCTTTCGACGGGGCCCCCTGCCTTAACGTCCGATAGACGGTCGCCTCATCAGGCGCACCGACATGACGTACAGCGGCATTCGCGCCTTCGTCCTCCCTCGTGAGCGAGCTCTGGTCTTGTTGATGATGTAGGAGACTTCCTGTTCGTTTCGGCTGTCTAGGGAGAGCAGATCCGCTCTCTTTACCCGTTCTAGGAACACGCTGGGTTAGCGCGACTTGGGCGGAGGAATCTACGGTAACGCCCGCGGTTCGAGGTACAGAGCTAAAATAGCTATCGCCGCCTGCCTGGCTGGGACTTGTCCCCGTGGTCCGCCTCTCAATAACTAGACCAAAAGAACTAGGGTCCCACAAAGGGGTTCCACTCGGTGAGGCGGTCACGCTTCTCGAGTGACCAGAATACTCGCTAGGGCTGGTAAGACTTCCAGAGACTGACCGTCGAGAGACACCCTCAGGTGACACCGGGTGGAGGTGGGCGAGCATGACGGGATCGGCTGCGCGTCCGTCCAGACCAACAGCACCAAACCCGCCGGTAGGCGGTCGTTTCCGATGAAGCCCCATCACTTCCGTTTCGAGACTTGAATAGTGGCGACAGAGCGAGAACGTTGCTGCCAGGTGAGGCGCCAAGTGCTCGAGGGAGTGACGTAGATTAGAGGGATACGGGATAACGGGAGTCAAGATCGATAGTATGGCAATAGGCGAGTGTCTGCTCCTGTGAGGTAAATCCTCGGAAGACGGTCGCTCGTGTAATGTCGCAAAATCTGTACGCAACTCAGAATTGTTATTGCTGCGTTGAGTGGCTTTCTGTTCCAGGACGGAGGGATCCAGCTTGAACCTGTGAGGGGGCTTCGAAAGGAGGATATGGTTAAGGGGGACATGGAGAACAGTCCAGGAATTGTCAACTCCAATAGTTTCGAGAGGCTGCGCGGAAGTGTAGTCATGGGGACTGGATCCAGGATTGAAGGATTCCTCGTCAACAACAGCGTCTCTAAAGAAGGGGTTTTCGGACGGATCAGCGCGGACGGCGGGTGAAGGCGCCGGAGACTGAGACCAGGGTGAAGGGGGGGCCTGCTCGTATTCCTCATACTTCGGTGTAGGGGGTCGTGGCGGAGTGTCTTCTATAGCCGAGAATAGGCTGGAAACTTTCTTCTCTATTGCTGACAGCGATTTCCTGCTTTGGCTCTTAGATCGGGGTGCGCTCGCGTTGGCTAACAAGGAAGATAACTTCGTTCCAGACTCAGTCCTGGTAGGCTTCCTCGAAAACCTCCTGGATTCCTCCGGCAGTGGCGGCGGCGGCCTCGCACTCTTAGTTTTCTGCTGCTGCTGCTTCTCTTCGCACGTAGGGTCGAGATACGGGTACGTTCGAGTGAGAGCAATCACTTTCCCTCGCTCGATAACGCGGGTGATGCCATTGTGGTCGATGAGAGGGTCCGCTTCGAGGTCTAGGCTCTGTAATACGGGTAGTACGCGGCCCTTGGCTTCCCTTTGCGGCTCCAGTTTCGCTTCCCAGACGGGAACGGGCTGCTGTTCCTCGATAGCGTCATGCTCCGCGAGGGCTTCCCTTTTCAGCGCTAGATGGGGGGAAACGGGGCCGCGTCTATCTGAATAGTGACTTTTACTCCTCGTGATTAGTCCAGGTCTCTTCGAACTAGAGCCGGCCGCTCGGCCGGCGTCCGGTGCGGCAGACCCCTTCTTATCCTCGTAAGCGGTAAACGAGTGTCGGCTCTGGATCGACGGCCGTATGGGCTTATCAACCTTTGGCTGATGTTGCTGTTGTTGAAAGCCCCCTAGGTCCGATGCGGACAGAGGTTGTTGTTCGTCTGTAGTGTTAGCAGAGAAGCTACTTCCCCTCGCAATATATGCCATGCTCAGATCATCTTCTTCTAGGGCACTGTAAGTGGCCTTCTGGCCCCAGGGCACATTTTCAATATCCGTCGGGTCGGCTGGTACCGAAAGCGTTACCCTCTCCGCCTTGTAAAAGACCGTCATGATCTGGATGACACTATTCCACCACGCATCCAAACCCGGCTCGGCGGAGAGCATCAGTGTTAAATCGTAGAGGGCAGGGGTAGGAAAATCGATGTTAGACGACCTGCTGGTAGCAGCTCCGGCGGGAAGAAACGTCATGGCGGATGCCGGGGTCGACGGGTCCGACCTTGATTGATCATGTAGCGTGAAACTGCCAGACTGCGCGGCCACCGCACCGGAGGCCCCACCCTTGAACGGTTGCCCAACAACGTTCTGTAGGTATGCCGGGGGGAAGTTTGGCGTGCCCATGCGCGGGAAGGGGTACGATGGTGTCGGGGCTCCAAGACCTGGTGTCATGCCGCCGCGGACGGTTCTGTTAGATTCGCTAGAGGTAGTCGGGATGTCGGACCCCGGAGTTGGCGAGGCCGACGAGTTGGTCTCCTCCTTGATGGGCGAGACGGCCGACTTCTTGAGCGCATTGCTCGAAGGAGACGGGGGTTGCAGAGCCGCCTGTTCTCCACGCTCCATCTCTCTGGCGAGCCGCTCCCGGTATTCCACGATGGACGGCCTGTTCTCTACGGCGTCAGATGAAGTCGCCGGACTGCCGAACTCCCTGCCCTTCCTCCTCGCGTCCGGGCTCGGTCCTGGTATCCGTTGGGGTAAATCATTCTCCCGCAGATGTGCATCGCCAGGGGCGGAGGGCGACTCCACGACATCGAGCAGGCCTTTTCCGCCGCCTCGCACGTTGACGTGGCCGATACTCGACGACGCGACGGTCAGCCACGGTGCATCGGGATTCGTCGACCCTACCGAGCTGTCTTGGGAAGTTCTCATGGAATCAAAGGTGTCTTCAGGCAAAGTCGAGCCGGGTGAGCTGCTCGGTTCCTCGGTCTTCAGTGACGATTGACAGGAATCCGGGGCATAGCCGGCAAGAGGGGGGGGAGGTAGGGCGTCTAGGCAGCGCGGTCCGTCCAAGTCCGAGGAGTGGTGACGCTGATGGGATGGCATGCCTCATTCACGGCGCCCCCATGCGGCAGTGTCGGGGACGGATCTTACTACGAACCCGTGATCTCGGCATTCGCATTCGCTGGCGCCCCAAGTGGTTCGTCGGTAAGGGGGCGAGTCGACAGCACACGACTGAAAGCAGTCAACCAGAGGTGTGTAAAATGCCGTTGTTTGGTGGTGGGTGGTAGCGAGGAATAAGGATGTGATTTCTTTTTTGGCTAGGACAGGTCAAAACCGGTAAGTGGCATCGCCTTGTGTCGATTGCAAGGCTCATCGGTGGTCAGCGGCCGGTTGGGTCAGGTCCCTACGTCAGACAGTGCCGCGGGACCGGATTCGATACGGCCCCCTAGTTGCGATGCGGGTACATCCGTATCCAGGGACGCTGCTGCGATGGGGATGGGACGGGATGGGGTGGCTTAGGGACGGGCGGGTGTACCTATAGGAGATTTAGGGCGGACGGTAGGAGTAGCACTAGCCGCCAGGCCAAGAGGGAGGAGGGAGGGAGGGAGGAGGATGGGATGGGGGATGGAGGATAAAGCAGGCAGGCGGGTTATAGCAGGCAGTTAGGTACCTGTTAGCAGGTAGGTCGGTACCTAGGTAGTTAGTGGTCAGTTAGTAGTGCATGGGGAAGTGCGGAAGCTGCTGGGCGGAGAGCAACCTGGCAACGCCATGGACTTGCCACGGGTCGGAAACCACAACAAGCATGTACTAGCCCGGAGGCCTAGATTTTTATACTTTTGGCGTTACCTTCCTTATACACGCACATGCGATACGTGCGATACGTGTACATGAGGAAGGTACCTAGCCTTCACCTACAACCTGCCTGCCTATACAGGTACATGCCTACCTCCGCACCTAAGTAAGTACCTGCCTCAGAGGAGTAGGTACCTCCTAAACATATACGTGTCTAATGTGCCTATATACCTACCTACGCAGGCACCTACCTTATATATAAGGTACTTACACACATACGTATGTGCGCATACGGAAAGGAGAAAGGTGCACCGAATCCACAGGGGCACGCAGCGCTCGTCCGTCACATCCTACAGGTACACAGCACCACCCCCTATGTGGGATACGTATGCACCTACCTAAGTGAGGAGGTACCTTCCCAACGTTGGTCTGCAGGCGGGTTGCGCACAGGCCATGGCCCACTGGGAAACATATGGGGTACGTAGGTGTGCGTTATATGTACCTACCTACCTACCTACGTGTATGGTCTTACTGCCTACCTACCGCCTACCTGCCTTCTAGTCTACATACATGTACGAGAGCAGGAAACATCGGCAGCCGCCAAAATCGCGATCATCGCCGTCAATCCGTTGATGGCTAAACTGCCCGGACAAGAACCTCATGTGATGGGCAGAAGGGGAGCGTGGCGTGCCGTGGGAGAGTCGCACTGGTGCGTACATGCATAGGTACCTCCTACACTGGCCATTAAACACGTACATGCTGTACGTACAATTGGGTTCACTTCAACGAATCACCCGCCTACCTTGGCCGTACCCAAGGTACCTAAGGCAGGGTATGTGCCTTCATACGCCAATGCGGCAACCTGGGCACATAGGTACCGACACAGACACGTCGGGGGGGACGGAAGAACAGAGGCAGGATGCAAATTTTTTACGACGCAACACAATACACAATGGAAGGGAAAGGAAGACATTAAATAACATTCCTGCACATACTGTATGATGTGCCATACGCGGGGGCGGCCCTGGGCACCTACATACCTGATCCATGCTCAGGCATGGCCAGTTGTCGACTTCGATGTCTCGCGGGGACCAAGGACAGAAAAAAAAAGAGAGAGAGGGAAGAGGAAGGGGGGAGGCCCAGGAGGAAGAGGGAGCAAGGAGGGGAAAGAGGCAGGTTTAGGTGGGTGTGGACGTCGCCGTCTTGTCCCTAGACCGTCGATCCAATCAAGATAGGCATGTGGGACCCTGAACAGGTTAACGACGCGATGGTAATCTTTTCCCCCGCCCAAGCCGGCGCGGGACAATGCTTCCCACTTGTCCCATGTCCTGGATCTTCATCTCTTCATTTACAGCCCCGAACCCCAAAACCCAAAGAAGCAGAGACAGCGAGACCAGGGACCGGCACACCAATTCGCATATATTTAACCACTCGACAATCCCACCCACTTTTACCTTCTCAGCTGCTGAGCGAACTGCTCCCCCCCCCCCGGTAGCCTCCCATCTCCCTCATGTGACTCCGCCCTGCCACAAATCTCTCCTCGTCGAGCCGGCCACTGGCTCGGGGCTTCGCAAGATGGCGGCCTCGATCGAGCTAGTCCGGAGCGTGGGAAAGGAGGCAGAGGAAAGGGAGGGGGGGGGCAGGGTCTCGTGACGGTCGATACGCTCCCCGTCTTCCATCATACCTGGGAATGCCTACATAAAACACCCTCGACAGCTTGTCTGTGATCTGACATATTGCTTATCGACGCAAGATTGTGTCATCAAGCTCGACGATGCGCCCTTGTCCGGAATAAGAGCGGTCAAGCACACGTATAGTGTGTAAAATTTGCATACGTGAAATACGGAGTGGGGACAAGTTAGAGGGAACGGGCTTCTTGACCGGCCGAATCTTCCCATGATCACCCCCCCCCTTCGCAGCCCCCATCAGCCAACAGCTCGATGCTGAATGAAAATAGCTGGTCAATCAACGTGGGGTTCTCCCTCGAGGACCCCGAATATAATTACGGAGGTATATATATATACATACATATATATAGAATAACCCCATCTGCGTAGATTACACCGAGGGAGATTAGGGCGAGTAAAATGAGCAAGATACGAAGTTCCTCCCGGCCTAAACAGCCCAGCATAACCAAGGTTTGCGGATGGGATTCCTCACGCTCGTGCCCGGGGCCCATCCTCCTGGCCTGCCTACCTAGGTACCTACCTACATACTACCTGCTCAGCGGGCACACATCCTTTAGTACCTGCATTGATGCTCAGAATTGGCCACGATAGCAGGCAGGTACCGAGGGGGGTTCGTAGATTAAATTATATCGAGTACTCGTAGTGAGGTTGAGCTTAAAAGGCCTCCCAGACAGTACCTTAGGCGGGTAGGTACCTTAGGTAGATAGATACCTGCCTACCTACCTCTAACTCCCTGACGTACAGTGCCAAGGTTAGCTGGCTAGCATGCCTGCCTATGTACCCAGGTATCGCCGTTAGGGTCCAATCCCTCTCGCTGCGTGCCGGGGCTCGCTATGTGTGGTCAGTGCAATGCAGGCTGCCCGGGGGTGCAACGCCGTGCCGGCGAGCTAAGTACGTCATCGCATTGTGTACGTCATTCTCACCTGCAGGGCATTGTTAGCCTTTGTCGCGGTCGCTCGCTCGCTCGCTCGCTCGTTCGCTCTCTCTCGTGCCCGGGACCAGAACCAATGTCTGGGGCAAGATGCGCGCCAACCCTCCTCTGCGGTGCGGCAGTTTTCAGGATGCACAATTATCGGTCCATTTGGCCGTATTGAAACCACACGCGCAGCTCGACACCGTCTCCGGTACTGCTGGGGGAAAATGTGGTCTCACGTAACACCGTCCGACGAGACAGGACAGCTCGGCGACGCTAATCCTCCCGTGACGAGCGCGAGTCTCGATTCTCGCGCATTGCGTGATGGTACCATTCTCACCTGCCTTGGATCCATCTCCAGGATGGAGTTAGACGCATAGATATCTGGGCACGCCCTTGTGCGTATCTCCCGAGTCCTAGGGACCTCGGGCAGTCCATTATGCTGACATGCCTGCCCGCCTGTAAGATACCCTCATGTAGGTACAGCCCATATCCATGCTCGCCCACATGTCCGGGCATGTACGTGCTTACATTGGTCGGGTTTGGTGCCTTTCTACCGTCCACGGGTACGTTGTCGTCGAGTGCGATACCTTGTAGGTACCTAACGCGCCCACCTAAGGATGGCTACCTAGAGGAGGTAGGTAGGTAAGCTATAGGCACGTAGGCACCTAACCTCCTACGGGTGTGCCGGAACCAGCAGGTACCTTATATTAACGAGTTGCTACCTCAGGTACGTTAAGCACCCTAAGCACCTAGGCACGTACCTAACCATCCTATAGGTTTTCAAGGTTCCATTAAGGACCTATGCAGATGTCCCATCTGATGCCCGCTTCGAAAAATCTCCCCGGGGAATGCAGCGGGCTTACTCCCTCACCTAAATCCAGTCTGCCAGCCCGGAATCTGATAAGATGCAGAGTGGACATGCCTATGGACGTCATCCCCGCCGGTTTACCTTTTATTGATGTACCCATGTGTCAGGATATCCCGGGCGAGGGAGCGACGGTAGGTCGATACAAGGCGTGGCATGTTATTGATACAACCTCGTGGATCCGAGTTGCGGTAACTGTTTCGCAGCGACGAATGGCGGATTGAGGGGGGTAGTACGACAGGCAGATTCGCTATGTCCTCACCTACCTGCGATGTTGCGATGCTGTCGTGAACTGAAACCCACCCACTACGAGGTAATCATGCTCACGGTAGAGTCTTACCTGAACCAGGAGAGCGATAAGACTGGCTTATTATCATTATTTTTGGAGGCTCACATCTGCATCGTTGCATCGGTACACATGGATTGCTGCAACTGCTCGTCCACCCGCCCATACGGGTCCTACTCTTCTTACATGCCTGCCTAGGGCACGTCGCGCGGCACACCTACCTATTAGCATTCGCCCAGATCCCGCCATACACTCCTTAATAGCATCCTCCTGGAATCAAGGAGAGCAAGACTGCAGAGAAGCTGTGGGGGGTGCCGGGCAAGAGAGGTATACTGCGCAGGCAGGGCATCCAAGATGGACAATACTTTGTAGGTATTATGGCACTAACTTTCGTCCTAAGGCTATTAACGGTTACCAAGGCAAGAGACGCAGCAGGCAAGCAAGTCCAAGACTCGACTAATAAGCCCGATGCGCCAAGACATATTTCGAAATATATATAGCACGGCCCCGTGCGGCATGTGTAGATGTGCGTATATAATATCGATCGACGGACGCGTAGTATAATACTTACCTCGGCGGGCGAGCGACGGCCAGGTTATAATCCTCCACACCCCAGTAAGCCTGTCTCCGGACACTGCTTTTGCCTCCTACCCACGTACACAACGGTAAGGGAGACACCCTCCCCCCTCTGTCTCTTTCTCCCTGTCCCTCCATACATACTCCGGTCTCGCTGACAAGGAGGGTAATAAAAGGGGGGGGGTAATAAGAAAAGCAAATATACCCGTAAACTTGATCTACTACTCTATTACTACGTAGTACATACACAGGACCGTCCAGAGTAGACGAGGTTAACCCCGGTATAATCCTGCCAATATCCTATTTCCTATATACCCTCTGATGGAGTAGGAGTTGCACGGTCGCGGAACCGTTGCCGGCCGAGTCATCTTCCACCTTCTTGCCCACGCCCCGTAAGTCCCCCTTCTTAACTCGCAGCCGGCCGGCCGAGACTAGCATCCCCACGATGCCCACAGCAATCCGCTTCGACGACCCAGTAGTCGGGAGCGGCGCACGAATCAGCCCACCATCCACACTACCTACGTACATTTCTACCGAACAGCTATCTCGAATAGAACCCACGTCGGCGCGGAGAATAGCTCGAATGGGCTAGGGGCGTGGTGGATGAGAAGACGGCGCCCGCTAATAAAGCCGCTAAGGGTGAGCTCCGCGTATCTTGCGCATGCCTGCCTGGCGACCGTGGCCACGGCGTCACCGTCGACAGTCAATATTCGACGGGGATGGGTAGGCATACGCATCGTCCGCCTGCGAAGAGCGGAAACCCGTCGGCCTGTTTCCTCGTCGGCCGCCCAAAAAGCACCGCGCGGATATCATCCAGCCTACGTCATCCCCATACGGATCGTCCAGGATAGATATCGTATCTGCATTGTCGAACAGCGTCATCGACAGACACCAGAACACAACCAGCGTGGTTTCGGCTGCCCCCGGTGACACGGTGATGGAATTGGGAGCCACGCGAGGTTTATTTCACTCCCCATCTCGCCCCTTTTCTTATTCTTGACTAACCAATTCCCACATAGGCTACCTAGACTACCGTGCAATACTGGCATCCGCGTGGAGCTCTCTCGTGCATACTAGTTAGCATCGTGCCTTGGGTTGCCCATCGGTGTTCGTCCCAGCCCAGGACAGCCTGCCTTACGCTCATCATGTCCGCCCAATGCCAGTTTCTACCAAGAACCCAGAAAACACGGGAAGGCATGGTAATACCAGTCTTTGATATGGAAAACCGCTCCCCGGTGACTTCTACTGGGACAGATGTATGTCACTCGTGTCCAAGATGCTTGGGACCAAGCACGAAAATAGTCGTCATCTAGGTACATTGCTACTAATCGCCGTCTAGTCCGGGGGGCTCGATCTAGGTACGTGCTAACTAGCACTCTCGCGTCCAAAGCCAGATTCTCGAGCCCCCCCCCTCGCCGCCCAGACCTTCAGCTAACCGTTTCCGCTCGCAGAACCTCGACGCCGAAGCTGTCGAATGCGGGGTTTAATTCCGACAGCGAGCACCGCTCGCTACACAGAATCCGATATCGTAGGTCACGCGGACCGAATGGTCGTTCACCGTGCTTAGATGTTGTCTGCCTTGCCTCGTTCCCTGGTTTTAGGAGGTCGTCATATAGCACCGTCGGAGGATGCTACTAAGAAGACAGACGGGCGACTATACACATCGCAGCTCTCCCTAATCGCTCCACATATCGGCATTAGATCGCCCGCCGAGCGACTATAGCCTGGCTGGATCGCGACCTAATTGCCCCGCCTTGGCTCCCTTTCCGCGTTGTATCAACCCATTCTTGTTGAGTCCCAGGAGCGTAATCCAGCAGGGTGCGCCCAGGTAGCTCCCACTCAGCCGTATAAAGGTGCGGATACCAAAGCGCGGCAAAGCAGCTCGCGGCAAAGCAACACTAGTCATGGCCAGCCCACCGCTCTAGAATGGGACGCGCCGACGAGACTCGGCATTCGCAGCGTCACTAATCTCTACAACAAGGAGACCGCACTAACCACGTGTGGCAGGCTAGTGGGAGGACAAACGGTGCATAGAACGAATCCCAGGCAGCATTCGTCACGGTCTAGGGCGGACGCCGGTTATGAATGTAGACGCCAACCGGATAGCAATGGAGAATGGGTAAAGCAGTTGTTTGTTCCTGGGTTTTACAACCGACCACCCGACTCGTTAGCGAGTGGATTAACATCACCCCGGTGGTATTCGTAGTAACTCTGAGCGTTGAGGGAGTGGTCGTGACGATGGTTGTGGAATGAGCATATCTTCTCTGGACAACGCAACCTGCAGTCGCTAGTTTATATATACTCTCCATTGCCGGGAGTCGTCGTAGGATGTTTAAGTCAGAGGAGCGTATTCCCAACCCTAGGCCTCGACTTACTCGCTGAGACACCCAAGGCTTATCTAAATAAGGAGCGTTATATATTTACTTAGCTATGGAAACCGAACGTGACAAGAAATCACCGGCATAAACGTGTATAGCGTGTGGAGTGCTTCTGCCGCCCTCATCTCTTTAGGCCGATCGGGCCAGGAGTGAAGTCGCCACAGGCTATGGAAAGCTGGGGGTTTGATCGATGGACATCCTCTACTATGGTCACTGTCTCCTTTTGACCCGAGCTAGTAAGCCAGAAACAAGTAGGCCAGTAACAGTAAGCATCTTGTTTAATCGTTACTATTCTGCCCCCGTTGTACAACCCTCGAATCCGATCAGTCGAGTAGCTCCCCACCTTGGGTAGTGAGTAAGTATATTAATACAACTGCAGCCCCGCCCCGTCCCCGAAGCCCGGATTGCCGAAAGGGCGTGTCCGTCGTAGGTATTGTGTCAGGGACTCCTGTTGGGTTTCGAGATGGCGAATTGCGGGCCGACTGACTGACGGACTGGCTTTCTTCTACTTGTTGTCGTTCTTCTCCTTCTTCGCGTTTGATACAGGCTAAATTTGCAACACATATGCTGTTGGAACTTGCCGTTGACCGAGTCTGGTGGGCCAAACTGTCAAGGTGACACTTTGCCACTTGACCCGGCGTCCGGGATGGCAGTCTATGCCGACCTTCAGACGTGGGCGAACCAGCAGCAACTTGTGTACTTACTTCTATATCGGTTAATTCATTACCGCCTGCCCCACCAAACGTCAATAATTCTTCCAAGGCACTCACTGCAACCTTGTCATCGCCACTTGGTTGTCCGGCGCCACGCTCGGGCTATAGAGCTAGCTAGCGGGGCAGAGCCGCTTTCCCTGGGCAAAGGAAGAGAGAAGGCCTGTCTGTTGCATTCGGCCGTGTGCCGATTTCGACGAGGTTCTTTACGCATCTAGGTACCTACCACACCTTAGCTATACCTGCGGTACTGGTTGGCCGTATGCACGTGGATATATAGGCAGACATGCAACGGCAGGTCATCGAGCTACCTCGGGATGGAGTGGCTGTGGCGGTCCTGTCCGGACCCCTTTCTCAACCATGTATGATAGGGGAAGGGGGGGGGAGGTGAGTGCTGTTGTGTCTTCGCGAGGCGGCGGGGACTTGGCATACGAACCTGCGTGCGGACATAATGCACATACCTACTCCCTCCACCCCCGGTTGCATATCCAAAGTCGGCCATAACTTAATAGCATCGACCTCCATCTCGCGAAGCGGCTGGGCTTCGGTGACAGAAAGCAGGCACCTGATGACGTCCCATCAAACGTGGCATAATTAGGTGCAATTAAAAACGCCGACACAACCTAAGCACATACCGTACATGCCTACATAATTCCCTACTTGCAATTGGTTCTGCTGTCCCGTACTAGGTTAAGGTCCCTACCTACCTACCTAAGGTAGAGGTGTACAAGTAGGTACGGTACGTACGTAGAGCGTACCTGCTAGCCTGCCTCGTAGTGGACATACCTACGTAGGTATATTAGGTACCTAGGTACCAGAGGTCATTCGGAACAGGTACCTAACCTTAGGAGGTACCTACCCCAGAAATTACTTCGGCACAACAGCCATGCAAAGGCATCCCGACTGGGGGAGCTTTCCCTCGTACCGTGCGTAGGCGCGTGTGGGGATTGTACGCCAGGACTCGTCCCTCATTGGTGCCACAACGTGTTGACGTGGTACGTCTTGGGAGAGTGCCTGAGGTCCTTAGGTACCTTGGTACATTAGGTACCTTTAAAGGAGCGGCACTATTATAGTTACCCAATGCACTTACCTAAGCACGGGCGCCTCCCTTACCGGTTCGCCAGAGACACGGTGAAACTGCTCTGGTCTGCAATGTGAGGTAGGTACGGGGTTACACGTCTCATTTCACCCGCCTTCGCGTCTCCGTCGCCTGACATAGATTGTTGTCAATCTACCGCTCCCTTCATCACCACGCCGTACATCAGCATCATCAAGCATCGTCTGCTCTCCATCCGCAGCCGCATCGCAGCACCGGGATGCGCCGCTGGCTCTCCGTTACCGAATAGAGATAACACCTCGGGAGCCGATCTGGCTAGCTTCGTTACCCTCGCTTACACAGCATCAATAGTGGCTGCAGCCCGCGACGACAGAAGAGGCAACTAGAAGCCCGTAGCCAGAGCCACGCTTGTCGCTTATCCGCCGGACGTAGACACCGACTGGGTTAGTCTGGATGCTTCCCGGCGACACCCTCTCCCGCGTCTACCATCACCATTAAACGGAGGTAGACATGGCCGGCAGGAATCGACAACAGCCGGCGGGCCAAAGCGAGCACACGCCCCTGCTCCGCGAGACGGACAATCGAAAGCTAAATGACGGAAGCGGGACGGGCGCCGCCTCGGAAGAGGCCTTTATTCATCTCAAAGTTCAACTTAAAGCCTGGAAGCGGCGCCGTTGGATGTCCTTCATCGTTAGCGTCACCCTCGTGCTCGTCTTCGTCGTAATCCTTATGCTTTCCGGAGGTAAGTAAGCTATTAGCCCTCCTAGACCGCGGTCACAACATAGCAATTAGTAGCATGGGGAAAACGCGGTCGAATTCACCCGCCACTTCTTCCGCTCGGCCTACCGACTCGGCTCTTGATAAGGTTCTACCTCCTCGTATCCGCGCCCATCACTCCATCCCATTCTGCCCCTTTCACATATTCTCTAACCTCCCTCTCTCCTCTCTTATTCCGCCCCTCGAGGCCCGCGTAGAAATTGGTATCTAAGACTGTCTAGTGTTGTCGCATTCTCGACGGAAGCCGGAGATGAGTTCGTCGCTGTGTCTGACGCCGGCCTGCATCCACGCCGCATCCGAGGTTCTGTGTTAGTAAAAACCTCGTGGCCCCTCGTGACGTTTGCATCCGGACTTATTAGACCTCCTAGACAACTTATCCCCGGACTACCAGACGATCGACCCGTGCACCAACTTCGACAAGCTTGTCTGTGATGGCTTCATCAACCGCCATGACATCCCGCCGGATAGGTCTTCATACTCTACGGGGACTATCATGTCCGAAAATGGCCAAACTACCCTGAGGCATATCCTAGAGTCTCCCTATCCGACTAAATCCCAGGTATGCGAGTTTCTTGTGACTCGGTAACGCTTGAGTTGCTGTTGTATCGTGCTATTTTATGATTCGTCTATAAGTGCGCTACCAAGTAGCGTAGTCTGCTACGCAGGTTGAAATGTGAACATTTTATTTCGTTTATCCTGCTGACATCTTTTCCCTTAGCATTCGTCGTTTTCGCCTCAGAATTTCATTAGTATCGCTGCCTCTACGGACGAGGAGAACTTCCTGCTGATACAGCAAGCCTACAATTCATGCTTGAATGAGACAGCCTTGAAAAAAGTCGGCGTTGAGCCCCTAGTCAGTTTGATCGATCAGGTCACAGCATCGTTCCCCGCCTCCGGAAGCGACGGTAAACTCGGGGAGGCCGATTACGCCGCTCTCAGCAACACCATCTTGCTCCTAGAGCGGGTCGGAGCATCCTCGTTCGTGAGCCTCGGCGTTGGAGCTGATGACAAGAACCCAGATGTTGTGATTATCCAGGCGTCGCCAGCAGGACTTTCGTTACCTTCACCAGAGTACTATCAAGACGATGACACCGTGGGCGCGTTTCAAACTATGCTCGGAGACGTGTTTGCTAATCTCCTCCCCAAAACCGCCTCGAAAGCATCAGCTGAAGAGCTTGCACAATCCGTCGTCGATCTTGAGAAGAAGATCGCGGGGATCACACCACCTCCTGGGGACCAGTCGGATGTCACAGTGAGTTAAACCCGCAATGGCATATCGCGAATCAGCGGATGGGGCTAACGATCCTAGAAATATTATAACATTGTCAAGGTAGACGATGTTGGCAAGATCGGTCCCGCACTTGGGCTAGACTCGGTTCTCAGGTCATTGGCTCCCGAGACTTACACCGTTGACAGTATCCTGCTAGCATTCCCAGAGTTCCTGGGAAATCTCTCTCAAATCCTTAAAGAAACATCGAAGTCTACCATACAAGGCTACCTAGCCTGGCAAGTAATTGACGCATATTCCTCCTATATTGACAGTCCGGAGATCCAGCCAATTCTTCGCTTTCAAAACACCCTCTCTGGAAAGGTAGATTGCCTGTCTATCTAACTCCTCCCCTGGTTGTCGATAGCTGACGACTTTCAGGACCCCGAAACAAAGGCCGAGCGATGGAAGACCTGCGTTGGCTACGTCGATAGCACGCTCGGCTGGATACTTAGCCGGTTCTACATCGAAGCGGCCTTCTCGGACGATGCCAAGATATACGGCGATCAGATCATCACGGACATCAAAAAACAGTTCATCCTGAAATTGAATGATCTAGAGTGGATGGACGACTCGGTCAAGAAATTGGCCGTGAACAAGGTGAACAACATCGACCAGAAGATCGGCTTTCCGACGACCTCGCCGAATATAACGGATCCGCAGGCGTTGAAGGCTTACTACAGCGGTCTTACGATTTCTAACTCTTTCTTTAATAACACGTTGTCGAGCAACTCGCGCGAGGTCAATAGGACATGGTCCGCCCTCGGCAAGCCTGTCGACCACGGGGAGTGGGGTATGCAGGCGGACATCGTCAACGCCTACTACAACCCGGTGGGGAACGAGATCGTGTTCCCGGCGGGCATCATGCAGTTCCCGGTGTTCGAGCTGGCGCTGCCCAGCTACGTGTCGTACGGGGCGTTCGCGTCGGTCGCGGGCCACGAACTGTCGCACGCGTTCGACAACTCGGGGCGGCACTACGATGAGCACGGCAACTTCACGGACTGGTGGACGGAGGACACGGTCCGCGCGTTCGAGGCGCGCGCCGACTGCTTCGCGCGACAGTACGGCGAGTTCGCGGTCGAGGGCCCCGACGGCCGGCCGCTGCACGTCAACGGGCGGCTCACGCTGGGCGAGAACATCGCGGACGCAGGGGGCGTGGCGGCGGCGTTCGCGGCGTGGCGGCAGCGGCAGCTCGCGGCAGCGGGGCCGGGGGCGCGCGACCAGGGCCTGCCCGGCCTCGAGTTCTTCACCCACGAGCAGCTCTTCTTCGTCTTCTACGCCAACTGGTGGTGCGGCAAGGCGCGGCGCGAGCACGCGGTGCAGGCCATCTACACGGACCCGCACGCGCCGGCGTTCGCGCGCGTGCTCGGCACCACGGCCAACTCGCGCGCCTTCCGCGAGAGCTTCGGGTGCCCCGTCAAGGAGCCGACGTGCGAGCTGTGGTGATCGGACCTGTACACATAACGTGCGGCCGATGGTTGGCTAGCTGTCTAGATTGGGATTGCTTCGACAGCGGGCCGAGTCCGTTGGGTAACGCCGTCTTTTGTGGTTGTTCTTAAGTCGATTTGGATTTGGTGTCGGGTTAGCATAGAGGTATTTTGGTTGGGATTTTTTGTGTGTAGGAATATTAGCGTACAGACAGACAGACAAGCAGGCATATGGGGCTCGAAGATATACATGAATATCCTACATATAAGCATATTGCCACGTATGGGATCGGCCCTTATAAGCCTGCATACTACAGTAAACTGCAACCGTCGACGTTCCACGCAGCTGTTACGAGCCCGTACTTCGGGTCAATTGGCTTAGTGGCTCGATCCCAGCAGCATCCCTCACGAGAGTCCAGCCCCCCCCCCCCGGTGTACGAGCCAGAGAGCCAAAGAGCCGAGCGCCGTGCCGAGAGAGGAGGGGTCTTCGCCAAGAGGAGGGGAGTTCAACTCGCTACGAAGTACCAGTTTCGAGGCCAGAAATAAAGAGCCCGAAGAGAGTGAAGTGCGATGTTGCTCCGCGAGAAAACCTCCCTTGAGCGTCTGAGAACCAGAGTGAAGTGCGGTGTTGCTCTACGAGAAAACCTTCCTTGAGCGTCTAAGAACCAGGGAAGGGGTGTGCTTATATAAGCACGGGATCGGCCGCTTCAAGCCTGCATACAGGTACTACGAGTCCTAGAATAGAGGCGCCTACATTTTACTTCGCTACGGCATGTATAGACAGAATACAATATAGGTCTATCGACTAACATTCACTCGCTGCGAGCTGGGAGTCGGATCGTTTTTTTTTTTTTTTTTTGCTGTAGCTAGCAGCGGGACAAACTCTGTGTACAAGATCTAACCGCGAGGCAGAGAGCAAGAGGGCAAAGTCGAGAGAGCTGCCTACGTATACGTGCTCACGGCACGGCACCGCACTTCGCCGACTCGGACCCGGCTACTCCTCCTCCTCCTCCTCTCTCTCCCCTACTCTCATACCCGTCGCGTCACCGCAGCCTTCCAGGAATGCAATAGAAATACACGAGGTCCCGTTGTCGAGACGTGCGGAGTTAGAATCTGCAGCTTCCACACGCTCGCGGCCTCTCTTCTTTGGTCCTTTTTTTTTTGTTTCCCCATCGCGCTTCGTGGGCCCCTCGCAGCGCTCTAACCAACACAACCCACCAAGTCAAGTTCGTTCCTCTGCGTCCCCTCGCACGCGCGCTCTGCCAATTTCATTTACCCAAGAACCTAAGCCAAGGAGCGCTAGGCACGCCAACGCCGTAGTTCGAAACAAGGAATAAGCTACGCTGCCCCAAATATGCTACGCTGAACCCGCTAGGAGACTCTTCTCCTTTTTTTTCCTTTCTCCTCTTCCGTTACCTTTTTTCTCTCTCTTCCTTTTCTTTGGGTCGGAACTCCTCCACAAAGGGCACAAAAATGAGGCGTTCGTGTTCGAGACGTATTGCGGTATTGAGGTTAGGTACGAGGACGGAGTCCACTCTTCCCGAATTGGCCCTTCGCCGTGCTATGAGAAGGAACGGCGCGGTCGTTCCCGCCGTCTCACAGGCCGAGCTTGTGCTTTTTGATCCGCGGGAAGACGCCGGCGACGATGAGTAAGCTGAGGATCACGGTCGCCCACAGGTTCAGCTTCAGCACGTTCAGGTTGTAGTCGGTCTCGGTGGCAGTAACGACAGTAGCTAAGAGGAAGAGAAGTAGGGCGTAACCGCTTGAGCGGTGGTACTTCCAGACCTTCCGGGCGTTGGTCTCGCCGCCGTACAGCGCCGGGACGGCGAACATGGTGAAGCCGACGAGGTACTGGGCGAGGAGCCAGACGGCGGCGGCGACGCCGAGGTAGCCGTGGGCCGAGTGGAAGTGGAGGCCGTTGTTGGCGAACTTGTTCACCTCGATGCTGGCGACGCCGGCGGCGAAGAGGGCGAAGCCGACGAGGTTGAGGCCGGCGTGGATCTTGGCGCCGACCTGCTTCTGGGCCCCCGTGTGCGTCGGCTGCAGGACAAGGATGGACTGGATGAGGACGAGGATGCCGAGCGACTGGGCGAGCGGGTGCACCGAGAAGAGGATCAGGGGCGGGTTGAGCAGGACGGCAGCCCAGACGGCGGCCGTGAGGATGAGGGCGGCGAGTTCGGCGATGACTCCCGTGCCTGATGATAGTATGAGCCTGGTCATCGTAGCAACGCGCAGCAATGGACGAGGGTACGGAGAGGACGAGTGGTAGGGGGATTACGCTGGAACCGGTAGTAGGGTTGCTCTCGGAAGCGGGAGCAGAGACGAAGGGAGGGAGGAAATGCAGATAAGCGAGAGGGGGAGGGAGTGACGGAGGGAAGAGCATCATACCAATGACGAAGTTTTTGATTATGGGAGCATTCTCCCTCTGCGAAGCGTCGCCGGGCCGACCCAAAAGAGGTTCCAGGTCTCCTTGGTCATCCCTGTCCGGATCAATCGGGAGATGTTGGGGAATTCCAGTGGCCGACGCCATCTCGGCTATTCTCAATTCGAGCTACGGGGGGCTCTCACGCTGTCGGGGGACGTAAGGCGAGCGGATTCACAGACGCGCGACAGGATTCGAGCAGATTGGCGCGGAAGACATGCGTAGAGAGGGTTAGGTAGGTATATCGGTATGGAAGGAAGAAGTTAAGGATAGGAAGGGGATGGGATTCGGGTCGTGGATAGTCTCGCAGCGGAGTGGAATTGGGGTCGAGGTAGCGCTGTTGCATTTAATCAGTCTTCGGTGTTCGTGTCGGCAGATCCGACGGGACCAAGCGGCCTCAACCAGCTTGCAGAGCAGCCGCAGCGAAGGGCTGAAAAAGACCGAGCTCACCATCGATGACGAACATGACGGAGGGTGTCGCAGACAGAGCTCCGACCTATCAGAGCCCCGTAATTCTTAAGCACTGGGCGGTACCGCGGTACGGTACAAGGCGGGGCAGGGAACTTCCCCTCTCGCCGACCTATCAGCAGCCGTTCTACGGGCAGAGCGATGGGGTACACCCACACTTGGCCCCCCTTGCTCCTAGGCACCTAGGTACCTAACCCCCAGCCACACCCGGGCCTTAGGTGCCCACCTCAGGTACCTGGCAGACCTAAGGTCAGCAGTAGTGGCGCGTAAAGAAGCTAACCCTTTGGGCGATACCCGACACGTGCTAGGTTGCTTGTCGCCTTTGTTTTCGACACTGGCTACCTGTCCTGCTGGCTGGGTTGGTTCTCTTGGAGATAGGCAGCGGCAAGGCATTTCTGTGCTACCGCCAGCAACCCGAATAGATAGGTAACCCCAGCTGCAGTGCCGCTGGGAGGCGTCGACGAGATAACAGCGAGCGCAAGTGCCGGAATCAGCACCGGAGGCGGGGTGCCAAGAAGTGGAATGAAATCGTTGGTGAATCCTGGGGAGATTGCTCGTAAGGTGGGAGAAATCGGCGAAGGGAAGATAGGAGGAGGGAGGGAGGGAGGGAGGGGGGATGAGTAAGTTACATAACCCACCCAGATGAATAAGCTACATAACTCACCCACGAGAAATGACACCTATTACCTGCCGTTGTTTAGACCACCATAGCCAGTGGGTCCGAGAGTTTGCGGTGCCGGTGCCGGTGCTAAGCCGTCGCGACTGTGGACGAGATTGGTTGGCTGGATCCCGTTCACAGGGGGGGGGGCGAGACACCATATCGGGAGCGGCCGTATTCCGGAGCTCAACGTTCGAAATCAGAATCTGTCCAAGAAGCTAATCCCCCGTATTATATAATATTGTACCATACCCACCTGTGAGTGTCTTCCTTTCTCTCATTCGGTTCCCTTCACGCACACGCGGAAATATACCCATCGTGGATCACCAGCGCGAAGCAACAGGCCCGTGACTGTCCGTAACTGTCCGCCATGGCCGACGATATCGGATACGAACTGGAGCCCGTCTTGGCCGATCCCATCGCCTCGGATGCTATCGACGACACCTTCCGATCCGGCTCTATCGGTACGTGACCACCGCCGGCCCGAGGCGGAATTCTACATCGTGCTATGCGACGTGCAGTCCCTTCCCATACTAACTGGCGTCGACCTGGCTAGACTTGATTTCCGCGGCGTTGGGGGGCAAGGTACTGGGCTTCTCGGACCAATGGTTCGCCGATGCCACCAATTTGCTCACCCCCACACCTCCCATACGGCAGCCCGGCAAGATGGTCTACACCGGTGCTTGGTACGACGGCTGGGAGACAAGGCGGCACAACCCAGAGCCTTTCGACTGGGTTGTTATACGGCTCGGCGTTTCGTCGGGGACGGTGGAGGGAGTCGAAATCGACACCGCATTCTTCTCGGGCAACCACGCTCCGCTTATCTCGGTCGAGGGCTGCTTCTCCTCGGACGACAGCGACGTTCTCTCTTGGAAGGGGGGTAAGGGGGGCTGGGAGACCATCTTAGGTCCGAAAGAATGCGGTCCTTCAAAAAGATTTGGTTGGAAACTGGCCCACCCTACCACGAAGCAGTACACACATGTGAGGCTGAACATGTACCCGGACGGGGGCATTGCGAGATTCCGATTGTTCGGACACGCCGTCCCTGTCTTTCCGGAGGATACCGAAGCGATTTTCGACCTCGCTGCCGCCCAGAATGGCGGCGTGGCCGTGTCGTGCAGCGACCAGCACTTCGGCACCAAGGACAATCTCATCCTACCCGGCAGAGGGAAAGACATGGGCGACGGTTGGGAGACGGCGCGGTCCAGGAGCAAGGGACACGTCGACTGGGCCATCATCCGCTTGGGCTCGCCGGCGCTCGTCCAAAGCTTCGTCGTCGACACGGCCTTTTTCAGAGGAAACTTCCCTCAGAAAGCGAGGCTCGATGCCATAGATTGGCACGCCGGCGGGGATCCGGGAGCGGATGCAGAAGGTTGGGTCGAGGTCGTCGAGCCTAGTAAATGTGGTCCTGACCAGGAACACACGTTCGACTCCGCGGTAAAGGACAAGCCGTTCACCCACGTAAAACTGACCATCATCCCCGACGGAGGCGTGAAACGGCTACGCGTGCTGGCAAAGAGAGCCGTGTAAGGATGTCGAGGAGAGACTCAGGGGGAAAATGCGGAAGTGTCTACCTACCTACGTACTTGTGCCTTAGACCCAGTCCATGGCGTGTATTTTCGACAGCTACTGTGTTTAATGAAATGGCGCGGGATCAACCTGCCAGACTGTCATCATGATCGCCCCCTGTGACATGCATGAATTCGTAACAAGGGAGGGAAGAATGTTGGGCAGGTATTTTGACGAATCTTGCGTAGCCGCACACAGGTACATCGAGGCGGGTTTGCCCTTGGATTATGGTTAGAGAAGGTACCTGGATACCTATGTACCGAATATTTCATTGGCTGGTTGCGGTTGAATTGGGAAATGGAAATGGACCAGTTCTAGGAAGGTAGGTAAGTACCCAGGTACAAAGGCGTACCCAGTACTGCCTGCACTGCCACAACTTAGGTAGGTACCTTAATGTACATATAGTGGCGGTCAACTGGAACCTCATACACGGCATCATTCCTTGCGCCTTCGTCCTTTTCGAGGGCCTTCAAGGTTTAGGTTAGGTACCTACCTAATGTAACGGAGGTACGTCTACTACGCGGCACTTAAGGTGCCTACACTTTACACTTTGGTCCCTGAACGTTTTGCCCCAGGCACCCCTTACAAGCCCGGACAGACCCTAGATCGAATACCTTAGGTACTTGCTGTGGCGTTGTGGCTACTAGGCGGCATCTTGGACCCTTTGACGACCGATTTGCTGCCCACGGCTCTGACTTATCTGACCGGCTGCTTGGTCCACGGTGTTGTTAACCTGCTTACCTTTACCTACCTACTGACCGTATCGAACAACCAGGGAACGGCCCACCGATTGATACAGACACCCGATTGATCCATACACGCCGAGAGCAAGGGGACCTCCGACAGCATCAACCCCCGTGGAAAGCATGATTCCACTCTTACCTCATCGGACAAGTTCTTGAGCGATATACGCCTATGCCTCCCGCCCAGAAATGGATTTTGGGGACTCTGATGGCGGCGGCTTCGGAGGACAGCCGCCCCAGGGGCAGAAACCAAGACCTCTCCCACCCGACCTCCCCAAGTCCCTAGACGACCGCAGGGTCGTGTCGGCAGAGCTAGTCCCCGAGACGGAGATGTACGATGGCTGGCAAGGTGAGTCGCCGGCTGGGCCCCTCTGCGCCTCCTTGATATCCATCGGATGCTAATTGTACCCGCTGTCCGCTAGGTCAATCGCAGTTCCTGACCACCCCGATGCTCGCGAAGCCCCTCCAGTTCAGCAACCTAACGCTGAACGACCCCGACTACGACGACGAAGACCTCACAAAGGGCGTCCCCGACAGCGACACGCGGCTAATGCAGATGCTCGCTGCGCAAGCACAACATCAAGGGGGGGGGTCCTTGGATGACGTAGACGCCATCGCGGCAGATGACCTGCTGTCGGACAGAGAGAGAGGGACCATGCTGCAGAAGGCTTTAATCATGTCCGCTAGCAACGGTGATGTAGACCATGTCAAGAAGATACTCGACGGCAAGGCCCGGCCCTTTGTGGATATAAATGCTCCCGACGAAGATGGGACGCCGGCATTGGTCTATGCAAGCTGCTTTGTCAGTTACCCGGTTTCCATTCCCTACACGTCCGATGGAATCTAACCATACACAGGGCCACGAACCGGTGGTACAAGCCCTCGTCGATGCCGGCGTTGATGTGGACAAGCAAGACCGGAACAATTGGAGCCCTTTGATGTGGGCAATGACGAATCGACATAAGGGAATCGCAAAGATCTTGTTGGACAACGGGGCATCCCCAGAGGCGAGGACGTCGTCGGGAAGGACCGCCTTCGACTTCGTCCCACCCGATAGCGATATGTCATTCTACCTACATGACAACGGCTACAGTATCGGCAATGCCGGGGTGACAGACGATTTCTATAATCCCGGCTTCTCCCAGGATCGGTTCGAAGAAGAGATGGCTGAGAATGAGATACGGCGGCGGATGATGATGGACAGCGCCCGAGATCTCGAGGTTGACTTGGGCAACATGGGGATCAACGACCAGCCTGAGGTAAGCTGCCACCGACTCGAAGCGATCGATCAATGCGACCCTCGTGCTAACTCCCATAGCCTATGGACGAATTCGAGGATTTGCAGGAATTCGATTGGGGCCGATGTTTGCACGACCAGATGTTCGTGTTTCAGGAGAGCGACCTGGATAGAATTCTCGATATCGTCGTCACCAACATGCAGCCTCAGCGATCGCCATCTCAGAAGCCTGTCCCTGCGAACATGATCTTTCTCAGTGCGCGATACGCCCACTACCATTCCAGCCACGATTTGCTGGAAAAATTGCTAGTGACCGCTCAGGACAAAATCAACGACGTTGTCGAAGCTCACCAGTGGGATATGACGATCCTGGCATTCTGGATGTCGAATGCGACCCTATTGCTACACTATCTCAAGAAGGATGCCGGCTTGGTCGAGGCGACAACCGAGTTCCAAGCACAGCTTTCAGAGCTCATCAACGAGATCTTCATTTTAATTGTCCGAGACGCAGAAAGACGGCTAGACAAGGTACTAGATTCTGCGATGCTCGACCACGAGACCATCCCCGGACTCAGCGACGTCACCTTTCAGCACGAGTGGAAGATCTTTAAGAGGAAGAAGGAGGTGAAGGAGGAGCCCCTCGAGAAGCGGTTTCGACCCCCTTCTCCGAAGCAGCGGGCTAAGCCGGCTCCCCGCAACGTGACATCCCTCCTATCATCCACTTTATTCGTTCTCGACCTGTATGACATCCACTCGGTCATCACATCGCAGATAATATCGCAGCTCATGTATTGGTTGGGCGCTGAACTTTTCAACCGAATCATGAATAATCGAAAGTATCTCGCCAGGACCAAGGCGATGCAGATCAGGATGAACGTTTCAGTCCTCGAAGACTGGGCTAGAGCCAACAATCGCCAGCCTGAGCATTACGAACACGGGGAGACGAGCTCGTCTGGCGAAACGACGATGGAGGCGGCGCGGCGCCACCTAGCCCCGGTTGTTCAGCTCCTTCAGTGGCTCCAGTGTTTCTCGTCGCTAGACCCAGATGACCTAGAGGCTTTGATCGGAACTCTCCAACAGCTTAAGCGGTTAAATGCGCTGCAGTTGATTTACGCTGCCAAAAATTATCGGCCGGAGGTTGGCGAGAAGAGCCTACCTAAAAGCGCCATGAAGTATCTCGATGCCATCCAGAAAGAGGCCGCCCTGCGAAGGGATCGCAGAAGAACAATGTCCCCCTCGGTGCCAGGTAGCACGCCATCCACGCCCATCCGGAGTACCCACGACGGATATAACGCGGAGACGCCCGGCAGCGTGCGAGGCACGCCAAATGCGGACCTAGATGACGATGACGATGATGTGCCAGACGGGATCAATCTCGACCCCTCGATGATGCTGCCGTTTACCCTCCCTTCCGTCACAGACATGCTCGTGTCATACGGCGCCGGATTCGGAGGGATGAATCGGGAGCGAGAGAGGAAGTACATACCATCAATCCCGCCAGAGTTTCTCGACAAGCTGGAGGTAAGCGGCAACTCAACCCGGCCGATGTTTGGCGAGAAGGACTGGGAAAACGAGGAAGTGTGACAGAGGATAGATCCGGCCGACCTCGCGGTCGCGTACCGGTCATGGAACGAATTGCATGGAATGGCTAGCTGCAGTCACCCAGGCCAACTCAACATGCATGGATGAGCTCAAAACTCGAGTTACAGGATGCGTCAAGATGCCCGAAAGCGGGCATGCTGGCGCCAACGAGAAGGCTGCCGTCTCGGTAATGAGCCATACGCACGCTGCAAGGGACAGACGCGTGGCATAGGGGAAACCAGGGGTTCGACCGCACAGCATCTCGGCGAGAGCCAGGTGAGATCAAGGCTACATAGCACGGTCGTAGTAAGCTTTGTCTCGAGGGCTCGCATTATGATGCGTCCTATCGCCGAGCATGTCGGGCGCGACTGTTGGTAGATGTCTTCTTTGTAAGGCAGCTATTGTACTCGTAGACAGACACGAGAAGGGAAAGAAAAAAATTTTCAGGGTCTCTCCGACCAAGCCGTCTTCAATGTCCAGGGTCCCGTATGTCGTGGCTGCTGCTGAGCGAACCCCTTAAATCAGAAAATAACATTTGTAGCCAATGGTCTCCTCCGATTGCACCTGGTAGACAGTTATCTGACTACCCAACCGTCTCCCTCCCTGACGCAGAGACATTCAGGCCTACGGCGGCGTGGCCAAATAAATTATACCTAAGCGTCACGGCAAATTGCCAGCTCGTCGCCGCGGGGAACATTCCAGCCACAACCCGGTCCAGATCAACCAGTTCTCCGGCTTCGCTACCGTGGTTTGCGTTCCCTCTTGGCACGCAGCGCATCCATCCATCCGCTTATCCCTCCAGCCTCCCGTTCAGCATCGGCGGCTTTGATTAGTTCCTGCACAGGGAGGCATCGTCGGGCCAACTTTACTCAGCGCCGTCACAACTCGACCAACCCCATCTCGCCTTCCACTCCTCTGACAGGGCGTAGAAACCTCCATCCCATCGGGGAGGGGGAGTCTAGCTTTAGAATCTGCCATCAACCTAAGCCTAAGTCTCTCGGAACCCAAAATACCACTGCCTGTAAAGTAAGCCGCCCCCCCCCCCGCAGCTAGAGACCCGATCCGGTAGGTAGCCGTGATCATGAGGGGAAAACCCCGCGCTGGCTTTCTCGTCTAAAGTGGCGGTTGCTAGTCTCGGGACAGACCAGTGCTGGCTAAAATGGGCCACGTCAATTAGGGTCGGAGCGCGGAGGCCCGCGGGATTTGCGAGTCCGTCCGTTCCCACGTCCCGGAGATGACATCGAGAGCAACATTGTCTTTCTCGGAAACAGAAAAAGAGACCGAATCAGAGAAAGAGCAAGAAAAGAAAAAAAAAATCGCTCACGGCTCGCGAGTGAGAGAATGACGTACGACTGACCACTTACCCTTCTAGAATAGGTGGGAATTCACCATCCCTCATCCTATCTTGGATCGGCCAGTCAGTCTTAGTGTCTCTCCCAAGGTTTAATAAATATGGCGTGGCTAGATTAAGCGTAGCTGCATTGGCCGGATGCACGATGGATGCTGGAGAGAAGCGGAGGGAAGGGTGGTGCAGCATATGATGTAGGTAGTGGGTACATGGTGTGGTGCTGACGACCATCGTGAAATCGACTATTTCCTACTAAAAAAGGATTGCCTGTTGTATTACCTCTTGATTTCTATAGGTATTTCTTTCTCCATCGCTTCCGTTCCCGACTCGGCTAACCTAAGGTCGATCCCCGAGTCCCGCATCCCCCCAAGGGAAGTCGATGGCAGAGAAGATGACGAGGGGCGCGCTTAGCAAATACCTCCTTGCCGATCTAACGGTGCGTTTTCATATAGACCCGTGTGGGGGCGGTTCGCTATGGGACGAAAAGGGAGCGCCATGAGACACCAGCAAGCCCGCGTAACCAAGAAGCGTAGACGTGGGTGGGCGGGATTGCGGGCGGGCGGAGAGGAGTGTAGGACTTATTAACACGGAGGCGAGAAGCCGCAAATTAACTCATCCGGCAATAGAATGGGATGGTGGTGAAGGCGGGTTCCCATAGTCAATTTTCAACCAGACAAGGGAAAGGGTCCAGACCGTAACTTTGAAACCAGAGAGACATGCACACATTCGCAGATGGTCCCATGATCCGAGTCTAGAAAGCTCGGGGGGGCGTGTTTGTGTTGGGATAGCTACGGCCAGGACGGGGCCCAAGTTTACTGTCCACAGAAATACTCAGTTCGCGTAGGCATGTAGGCATGTTTATGCTATCCAAGCGGTCATCCCGACAGAGTGGGTTGGGCGAGTTAGTGCGAGTAGACCGCCAGAATTTCTCATTCGAGGATGCATGCGCCATTCGGCGGTTCGACCCCGTCGCGAAGAGGAGCGCACACCCACACGCTGCATACGTGACCGCTCCCAGCCCTGAGGCCAGACTGGCAGACCAGGTTCGAAAGTGCCGCGACGGGGCCAGTGCCAGCCGGTGCAGCAGACGAGAGGTGGCCAATTGGGAGAAAGGGTGGTTAGCAACTAGGTATGTCGTATAGATGGACGGCGTAGTAGTAAGGTTGATGATGTGCATAGCTTCTGCGTATTGATGTTGTTTTTTGTTGCGTCCTCGTCTTCGAGACCCCCGGACCCAGGGATGGCATCCCAATGGGAATCAGGACCGCCACGACACACCCACCCGGTCGACAGACCGTACGTGTTAGCTAGATCAGATGAACCGCGACTACAGCCAAATGCGCATCTACTCATAGGTGCGTGATGTTCCGGGGGGGGGTCGGCATATGAAAAGGGAAGCGAAGCCGGGCCATGGTAGGGTAGGAAGAGAGAGAAGGGGGGGGGAAGAAGAGACAAAGAGGAGAAGAGAGACGGTGGAGAGGAAACAAGACGGAGGGAATAAGTTGTCTGTTAATCCTATCTGAGTTTCCTATGATAATATTACAGTTTCACACACACACCTACAATACACTTACACTAAACTTACCTATACATGCCTACCTGCACTTACACACTGCACGCATTACCTCCTACATTGGGTATACGTACATGTCCGCACTGGTTCACGGCCTCTTAACCTGCCGCTCCCCTACGCCAGAATATACCCTCGCTTTCTTCCGCATCTCAATCACGTCTGTATTTATCTATCCATTTCTTTATTAGTTGCAGCTGTTGCCCACCGCATGTAGGCACAGCACGCCGCCGCCGGCGCGACGCAACCCGACAGGTGCAGAATTGTTTCCCCGATTCATCGATTTCGCCGGTTAAGGCGATATCGAACTCGAGGATCGCCGACGGCAACTCTTGAGCTCTACGTAGGTAAGTTGAGAAGAGAACCCCAAAAGACAGAGAGGTACGAGCACGAAAAGCTTCGTGTGCCTCTCCCCGTACCCTCCTCCTCCACCCCGAGCATGGCATATTAGATACTAGGTACGGCGCGTGGTGCACGGCGTGGACGGTGTTAGGAAATATATGGTAGGAGGCAGCGGCCCCGAGAAGGCTGCGAACTACCGCACACCTACCTTCCTTAACTGCCGCTCCCTTCTCCTCCTCCTCCTCTTCTTCTTATTATTCCCATGGCCTCTGCGTCTCCGTCTCCGTCTCCGTCTATCTCCATTCTTCTTCGCTACGTTGCTCGTATTCCCTCAGCCCGTTGCGCTCGTCGCCAATTGGCGTCTCATTCCTCGACGCTTCTCCTCCCTTCCTGGGCCCGTCCTCTCCCCCTTACACACGCCCCTTACTACGCCATACAGTCACGCTGACACATCGCCCGCCTCGCTTCCCGCAGCCGAGTGCGAGTGGATCGCGGGCGCGGCCTGAGCCAGCCCCTCCAGGTCCACACACCACTGGCAAGCTGGTCGCCACCCCAGCGTCGGGCATCTTATAATACGGAACGAGGACGGACGAACGAACTCTCGTGTTGGCTTCGTTCCCCGGTCGCGATAACTCGGGCAGCTTCTGCGGTTTCTGGCGTGCGCAGAACAGAGTGCCATCCATCTCGAGAGGACACCTCCCACTAACATCGGACCTATCGCACGCTTGTATTGGTTGCACCCAACCGAGACAACCACCATGTTTGTTGGAGTCGCACCAGGTGCCGCGCCCTACGCACCTCTGGTACCCCGCAAGAAGGCAAGCATCCGACAGAAGAGCAGGTCGGCGTCTCTGGTCCCTTTCAGAGACGATACCAAGCTGGTGGCTTTGCGGTACGACCAAACCGTGCAGGCCGAGCCACCCATCCCCATCCCACCCCCTCGTTCTGCTCGCCGACCACCACCACGTCCCATCTCGTGCAATACCACCCGAAACGCTACTGTCGTCGTCCCCCCTCCTCGCCCCCCTTTTCCGACCGAGCAGCATCCGGCATTAAGGACCATCAGCAGCCCCCGATCGACCGCGGCGCCCGAGAAGCGAGATTCTGGCCATGTGCCGACCCCCTCGAGCACATTTACCATCCAAGAGGACAGCGAGACCGACGACGAAGATCCTTTCACCTACGAGCACGTCCGCAAGATACCTGCCATCCGACCGCTCCGCCTCAGGACCCGTTCGGCGTCGCCCTCTCTTTATCCCTCGCACGAGGGGCGTGTAAGTGAGTCATACAGCAGGGCTAGCGTGCCTGCGAGCTCGCCAGCGCTGTCGGACGGCGAGACCGTCTCCCCCGCATCGCCGACGACGCCGCCCTTCAATTTTCCCAGGCGGTTTGCGAGAAGTTTGAGTCTGCGGTCGAGCTCGTCCCGGACGTCGACATCGAAGATGCGGCGGTTGCGCAAGAAGCTAGCAGCAAATGACGGAGAACCGTGCGTCACTGACGGCCACCCTGGCCATCCAGTCAGCGACCAGAACAGGGACCAGGGCGGGTCTGCGCCTAAAGGGCCTAACCTAAGCAGCAGCAGCAGCAGCAGCAGCAGGTTTTCGCCAGCGCCCTCAGACCCCCGTGGCTCTCCAATTATCTCGACCGCCATCCCCACTGATAGCTTGTTGGATGATGACTTTATGACCCAGCTGTCCTTCTCCAAGCGCGGCAGTCTCATTTTCGGCGCTAAGTCCCCGCGCAGATTCAACAAGAACGTGACAATCATGGCCGATGCGGGCAGCAGCTCGGCTTCGGAACCGCACAGAAATCCTCGTTCCTTTCCCTTGGTTCCCACCGCCGTCCAGTCCCGCCAAGACGAAGGCGGCGTCGGCACCCCTATCGCGACCGACGCGAGCGCCAAGGAATCCTCCAAAGTCCCCGATACGCGCGACGACGCCAAAAACGACGCCTCGACAACCGTGCCCTCGAGTTCTCGCCGATTGCCTAGCGTGCGGGTCATATCTGCTGAGGCGGAGAGGGAGTCTCAAAAGGTGAGGTCGCTCTATGAATCCGGGGAAGGTCTCAGTTTCGAGGAGGCTGCAGGACACTCATCGCTCGGTGAGCGTCCTCGATCCACAGCAGAACACCCGTCAGAAGAGAAGAACGAGAACGACGCGTACGGTTTCCTTATCTCTCCGACCTCTCTCCCTTCTAACGATGCTAACCAGCGACACCCCTTATAGGTTAAGCGAGTATGGACGCCCTACACAGATCTCGGTTTCTACTTCGTCGCTACTAGATAAGGGCTCGCGGCGCGGATACGAATTGGCAGGAGGCATCGAGGATTGGGAGGGAGTCGACGGCGAAGATGTCGATCGCTACGGTTTCATTTCGCGCCAACAGCGACCGGCCTCACAGCAACGGCCAGGCTCGCCACGACCGACCACACCAGACGAATCTGCTGGGCCCCCTCAGTTCTCCCCCCGCAAGCAGCGGAACGTTCTGGTACGCAAGGAGACGCCGTCTCTCTCGTTGAAGCTTAAGCGTGGTCCGCGTAGGAGGATGTCGGCCCGCTCTCTGAATACCCAGACCTCGGGATTGTCGACGGCATCGCGCCGATCCACTCGTTCCGCTATCCGCCAAGCCGCAAACTTGCTGCCGCACAATAGGGATAGGAGATTAATTGACGAGGCCGGGGACATCCTCGCCTTGCAGCCAGGCCTGTCGAATGTCGACGACGATGAGCCGACGGAGAGGAAAATGGCTGAGTCGAAACGAAAAGAGATCGCGCGCTCGGAAAAGTGGCGTAGGATGGCCAGAGTAATAAAGCATGGTCCGGACGGCCAAGGTATGCAGTTCGACTTTGACCTTAAGCACCCCAAGCTGGTCAAGCGGACGTGGAAAGGCATCCCCGATTGCTGGCGATCAGCGGCCTGGTATTCCTTCCTTACCACCAGCGCCAAAGCCAGCGAGAACCCGTTCGTTCCCGACGACCAGCTCAAGGTCGACTTCCACCGACTGCTCCAGCAGCCGTCCCCGGACGACGGCCAGATCGACCTGGACGTGCCAAGGACCATCAACCAGCACATCATGTTCCGTAGACGGTACCGCGGCGGCCAGCGGTTGCTCTTTCGAGTGCTGCATGCCTTGTCGCTCTACTTTCCGGACACGAGATATGTCCAAGGCATGGCTCCCTTAGCGGCGACCCTCCTCAGCTACTACGACGAAGAGACGTGCTTCGTAATGCTCGTTCGGCTATGGAAGCACCGCGGTCTCAATCGGATGTACCAGTCCGGATTCGAGGAGCTGATCAGTGCCCTGAAAGACTTTGAGCAACAATGGTTGGACGACAAGGACGTTGCTCAGAAGCTTGTAGGTTTTCCCACCGGGACGGGGAGGCTTCCCGACCCGAGCCATACCCTAGATACTAACGCCGAATAGACGGAGCTCTGCATCGACCCAACCGCGTACGCTACGAAGTGGTACCTCACACTCTTCAACTTGTCGATCCCCTTCCCCGTCCAGCTTCGCGTGTGGGACATCTTCCTCCTGCTGGGTTCCTCGCCCGACCTCGGCGGCGGTTCTGCCTCGAGCCAGGGCGACTCGGCGGAGCAGCCCTCATCCAAGGGACTCGAAATTCTCCACGCCACTAGCCTCGCTATCATCGACGCGCTCCGAGACTCGTTATTGGATTCCGACTTTGAGAATGCGATGAAATCCCTGACATCCTGGGTCCCTATTAAGGACGACCAGGGGTTCATGGACCTGGTGGAATTGGAATACAGACGACACCAAGGCAAGCAGAAGTCTTAGGAGGCCGGGCAGCCTCTCTGACGTCCAACCTGATGGGCGGTTCGAAGTCTTATACATCTTCCTCTAGTTCACATAAGGATGGATGGGGCAATCGGCTACGATGCTGGCTAGAGTCGGTCATACCCACTGGTCAGACTGACATACCCACTGGTCAGACTGACATACCCCCCCCCCCCCCCTTCGGGCGCTCTCACTTGATCTTTTTATTTTTTCATACCCCCGACACCAACATCGCTCAGGTCACGACAATGGCCTGGTTAATCATCAATTTCTCTTTTGTGTCTCAGGAGCGCTGGTGTTTGTCCATGCTGGGTGAGCTAGGCGAGCTACGAGGCGCAAGCATGGCACGCATGGATTGATGGAACGGTTCGCATTATACCCCTACGGATGCAAAGGATGGCTATTATGAGCAGAGAAGGACGGATTCGTTATCGAAGCCGGTAATCGCGGGTGGAGAGTTGCTCAAGTGATAAATACACATCATTCCCTAATGATAAAACCCAAACACAATCGTGACCAGCCAATACGGTCTTACTACTGATTGTACCTAATTACCACTAGTTTATTGTTTTCGCCTGTCCGTCTCCTCCCCCTTCTCGCTCTTCGTCGGATGCCTAGGCCCTCTGTACCGGCGCAGCCCTCACCCTCTATTAGAGCCTTATGAGACTACATGTACTTGGCGAGAGGAAAAGGGGAGGGACAATAGAAAAGTTACTTTGCGCATCGCGCCTCACGTAGTCGGCCCCGGCCTCGCGAATAGATACTCCTACCCGCGACGTGTTCTCAGACGACGACCCGAGGCGGGACCAAAAAAAACGCCACCGCTGCTAAGAGGAAGCAGAAGAAGAAAACAAGCTGGTGGCGCCAGCTTCCTGCGAGACACACGGGTTCCTTTCTTTTTTTTGCGCGAGTATGACGGCTGCGGGGTATTCGTGTACGTCAACGACAGCGCGGCTTTTTCTATCTTTCTTTTTTGCTCTCTTCTCTTCTCCCTCCCTTCTTTCTTGAAAAGAAAACAAGGGGGCGTTGCAAGGTTGGCTGCCCCCAACACCACCTCGCCTCCGTCCCTCTACCCCAAACGAGCGAGCGGCTGCGCAGCTAGTCTCGCGGGCCGGGCCGCTGCCGCTCGGGGCCTGGCTTAGGCGGGCGGGCTACGTTAGCGCGTGTCTCTCTCTCTCTCGCTCGCTCGTACGATAGTGGGCCGGGGGCCGGGGGCCGGGGGGGGAAGAAGAAGGCAGTGGTGCTTAGGGTCTGAAGAGGGCTCGGGTTTGGCTCGAGCCGTTTTCTGCGCCCGAGTGAAGCTGCTGCGGCTGGTGTCTCTTTCGGATGCGCCAGGACGGGCCGCCCCTGCTGGGGAGAGAATAACATGTCGCCGGGCATGCAGGTGGACATGTGGCGCTCGCACGGATATCCAGTACCCGACGGTGATGCCCTCGCATTGACGAGTACCTATCAACTATCCCAGGCACAATGTATCTGACACGAAATTTGGCTGGTTTGTCCAGTCTGCCTGAAGCCTTCTCTCTCTCCTCGCTACCTCCTTCTGTTATCTCGCCCGACCAGAATCCAAAATGCCCCCCCCCCCCTTCCGTCCTTTCGCATACAAACATCTCTCATAGCAGTTTATTAGAGCCGAAAATTCCGAAAAGTAAGGAGAACAGGGGAGGGAAGAAACGACTATCGTGGAGTTGTCGATCCCACTTCACGGCAGATCCCACCAGCTCTCGTGGATGTCGCGCAGGTCGATGGTCGCCGGGTCGCGGATGTACGGCGTGATGTCGACGTTCGGGTCCTGCTCCTTCCTGGTGCCGCCGAGGCCGAAGTACCAGGCGAAGCGGTTGCCGGTGCCGGGGAGGTACTCGTACTCCCAGTCCTCCCAGCGGGGGTCGCGGTAGATGATGGTGAGCTGGGTGGAGCTGCCGGGCCAGAGGCCGTGGATGCGGCTGCCGGGGCGGCCGCTGTTGTACCAGGAGCTGCAGTTCTCGGACAGGACAGTGGTGCGGAAGAAGGCGTCGGCGTACTGGACGAAGTCGTCGGCCGCCCGCCGCGACGGCTGCAGCGACCGGATCCCCTCGCGCCCCAGCTTGCGTAGCAGCTTCGCGAAGAAGGCCACCTGCACCTCCACGCTGTGCGGCACCGTCCCCGACCGCCCCGACCCGTGCGGCCCGTGGATGAACCCCAGGTTCGGGAACCCCGGCGTCGCCACCCCCAGGTACGTGTACGGGAACCCGTACTCGCCGCCCTGCCGCCACAGCTGCGTGAGGTCCTTGCCGCCCGCCCAGATGCTGAAGGGCGGCACCATGTCGACGTTAGCCCCCGTCGCGCAGAAGACCGCGTCGACCTCGCGGTGCCGGCCGTCGGCCGTCTCGATCCCCGTCTCGGTGAACCGCCGGATCGGCGTCTGCACGTAGTCGACGTTGTCCTCGGTGAGGGCCTCGAAGTAGCCGGGCCCCGGCGTGAGCCGCCGGCAGTGCGGCGAGAAGTCGGGGATGACGGACGCGGCGAGCTCCGGCTTCTTGGCCAGGCGCTTCTCGACGATCTTGATGAACTCCTGGCGGGACTTCTCGTTCAGCTCCGAGCCCTTGAGCCAGCTCGAGAACCCCCTCCAGTACTTGGACTCGGCGACCTTCCGGTACTTGACGTACTCGTTGGGATCCTTGAAGGACTCCTGGAGCTCGGCCGATATCGGGATGGGCGTGATGGCGGTCTCGTCGCCCGCGAACGAGGCCGCCACCCAGGTCTTGTTCCGGGCGTAGTGGTCGAGCCGCTGGACGCGCGCCTGCAGGTTGGCGACCAGCTGGATGCCGCTCGCCCCGTTGCCGATCACGGCGACGCGCTTCCCGGTGGGGTCGAAGTTGGGGTCCCAGTTGGAGGCGTGCCGGAGGAGCCCCTTGAAGTCCCGCAGCCCCGGGTAGTCGGGCAGCTTCCAGGCGTTGAAGCGCCCGATGGCGGTGAGCACGTAGTCGGCCTCGTGGACGAACGTCTCCCCGGTGCTGAGGTTGCGCACCTTCACGTCCCACACGGACCTCTCGTCGTCCCACCTGAGCTCCTCGACCTTGTGCGAGAGCTTCAGGTACTGGTACACGTCGTACTTCTTGGCCAGCCCTTCCCAGTAGGCCCTTATCTCGTGACCCTGCGCGAACTGCTCCGACCAGTTGACGTTCGGCGCAAAGCTGGACTGGTAGACGTGTGCCGGGACGTCGCACCGGACCCCCGGATAGATGTTCTCGAACCAGGTCCCGCCCTGGACACGAGAGTTAGCAGGAACTCCCCCTCGAGCTCTCGATTATGTTGCCGGCATCGTCGCCGATGCCGCCATCGGACAAACTTACAACACCGGCGTTCTTCTCAAATATGGTCAGTTTAATACCCGGAACCTTAGGCGGGAGCAGTATGCCGGCGAGGACACCGGAGAGGCCGGCGCCAACGACGACGACCCTCAACTCTCTCGGCTCATCGGTATAACGCTTCTCTAGCGAGATGCTTGGTAAGGGGTAGCTATCGTACTCGGGCTCCTCGAGAAGCGACTTGGCCGCCTCTGCTGCATTTTGGACTACCGGCACTTGGACGCCATTCGCTGGCCTGTCGTCTACTTTTCCTTGGCCCGATGACGAGGGCGGTGCCGGTCCCGTCCCGTTCAGCGTCCCATTTGTCTTCCCGCTATCCCCATTAGTTTCTTTTGAGGTTTCCGCCGCCATCGTGGCAGTGTAGTAGAAACTGTATACACGACGGCGTATAGTAGGGGAGAGAAGAAGAAGAAAAAAAAGACGTAGGAGGCTTAGTCGATGCAACCGTCGGGCCACGTCGTCGCAAGTCGTATACGTAGCCGATCGCGAACTCCCCCTCCGACTTATAGGTCTCGGGCTCGGGCTGCCGTCTAAGTCTTTTATCATTCGACTAATGGCGCGCTACCCGCCTATCACGTCTTCCGCCAGCGAAGCACGCAACATCCCCCGCCTCTGCTCCTCCGCAATAGGACGCGCTGTAACATCCGTATCGCGGCTAACATGGCCGCTAGCCCAGCTGCCACCCTCACACCGAGGCAATACGCACTCTCCCTCGATACGAGCCTGCCGACGTAGGAGCGGGCGTGGGTGGTATCGTGGCGGCCGGTTCCGTCTGCACACTAGTTCCCCGAATACTAATATCTCCTGTTACTTACTTATACGACGGCGGCCCGGTTGGCTGGTTATATTCTCCCGTTTCTCTGTCTTTTTATTCCTTGAGCAGCCCATATTAGATAAGTCTACCCGCGAATTAGTCCTCACCTAGTGGTATACCAAGAGATAGGCGCCTGTAGCACCACGCGAAGAGAAGGCAAGGGGAAAGAAGGAGCAGAAGCACTACACGATGGCCCAGCCGGAGGAGAAGAAGCGCATCTTCTTAAATGCGTTTGACATGTCTACCGTTGGCCACCTCTCGCCGGGCCAATGGAAGGTGAGAATCATATCTTGTTATCTCGTCCTTCATACCAAGTTGTCAGAACTAATGATATCGTTGTTACTAACATGATGCTGTTAGAATCCTGTCGATAAATCGGCAACGAAACGGAACCTCGAGTATTGGATCGAGCTGGCCAAGCTGCTTGATAAGGGAGGCTTCAATGCCCTATTTCTCGCAGATACGTACGGTGGTTACGATACCTACGAGGGAAGCCTGGACAACTGCATCAGGCGGGCGGCGCAATGGCCCATGACGGACCCAACTATCGTAGGTTAAATTTGCGTCTGCGCCTACGTTGACGAACCTGAAATGACGAACGTTTGGGCAACAGCCGATCGCAGCGATGGCGGCCGTGACGAAGAACCTCTCCTTTGCCATCACCGCGTCAACTTCGTTCGAGCCGCCTTTCCTCCTGGCGAAGCGCTTTTCCACCTTGGACCACTTCACCGGCGGTCGGTTTGGCTGGAACATCGTCACGTCCTGGAAGAAGGCGGCCTTCAAGGCGATCGGGCTGGAAAACCCCATCGAGCACGACGAGCGGTACCGCCAAGCTGACGAGTATCTGAGAGTCCTGTATAAGTATGTTGTTGCCTCACCAAGCCGAGCTTGGCCAGGTCGCGGTCGTGAATGAGGTGAGGCTTACCATGACGCGTATTATAACGCACACAGGCTCTGGGAGGGATCGTGGGCGGACGACGCCATATCGCCGGATCCCGAGAACGACGTGTATGCGGACCCGGACAAGATCCGCACGATCAACCACAAGGGAAAGTACTTCACGCTCAACTCGCGACACATCGTCGACCCGTCCCCGCAGCGGACGCCGTTCCTGTTCCAAGCGGGGACCTCGACGGCGGGGCAGGAGTTTGCGGCGACGCACGCCGAGGCCATCTTCGTGTCGTCGCACTCGCCGGTGATCCTGCGGCCCAAGGTGACGCGGATCCGGGAGCTGGCGGCGGCGCAGGGGCGGGACCCGCAGTCGCTCAAGTTCTTCGCGACGTACACGCCGGTGCTCGGGCGGACGGACGAGGAGGCGCGGGAGAAGTACAAGGAGCTGCAGAAGTACGCGTCGGTGGTGGGGGGGCTGGTGCTGGTCAGCGGGTGGACGGGGATCGACCTGTCGCGGATCCCGATCGACCAGGAGCTCAGCGCGGCGGACTCGCTGGAGGCGCACAAGGTGCGCAGCATGCTGGACGCGTTCACGGCGACGAGCGAGGACATCCCGCGGTGGACGCCGCGGGTGGTGGCGCAGAAGGCGGCCATCGGCGGGCTCGGGCGCGTCGGCGTAGGCAGCCCGCAGACGGTGGCGGACGACATGGAGCGCTGGATCCGCGACGGCGACCTCGACGGCTTCAACATCGGCTACGTCACCACGCCCGGCACGTTCGAGGACGTGGTCGAGCTGCTCATCCCCGAGCTCCGCCGCCGCGGCCTGTACCCGGACCAGCCGGCCGAGGGCGAGAAGCTCACCGCGCGCGAGCGCATCTACGGCAAGGGCCAGAAGGGCCTGCGCGACGACCACACGGGCTCCCAGTACAGGTACGACCGGTACCAGGAGGACCCGCCGTACCAGGAAGAGAAGAAGGAGGAGGTGGCCGTCGAGAAGGACGGGAACTAGGGAGGCCTTGGTTAGGGTACGGCGACACACAAAGCTACCTGCGTCTGTCACCATGTGTACCTCTCCCTGTCTGTCGTCTCATTGTATATCTTTCCCCCCTCTCTCTCTCGGCAGTGTGGATTGTCTGCATACGGCTCGCAATGTGATAATACCTATAGTTACCTATATTTTATGGGGTCTTGTTACTAGCACCGATGCGACGTCTTTTAGAGATCCCCTCCCCATGGGCGTACTCCCAACGCCCCATCACCGGCAGTATGTGGTGTGATTGTACAAGTCACGGTCCGCGTAGGAAATAATAGACCTAGCCATAAGTGTAGGTGGATAGGTGCATGACCGGCACTCTTACCATCACCATCTGTGGACGACGGTGTAGCCAATAGATAGGTACGTCTATCCAGCCCGCACGAAAAACACGTAAAAATGAACCAGAAACGAACGAGAAGAGGTCGATCTCTGCGAGACTAGAGAGCGAGACAGGCGCGGCAGAGGGGTGAAGAAAGGGGGGTGGAATGGGAGGTGAGGGGTGGAGAGATAACCGCTGGCTAACGAGATGACGTCTTACCCTTTCCCGCTTTCGAAATCTCACCCTCCTCCCTCCTCTTCTCTGTCTCTCCACCCCTCCGGCCGGCCCATCTCTGTGGGCGATCAAGCGCGAGAAGCCGGGCCGCGGCGTGGAGGAGGAGGAGGAGGAGGAGGACGAAGGTCGAGGGCCACGCGTCTTGCAAGACCCCGCGCCGCGGTCGCCATGGCGTGATCGAGGTACTCGCGTTGCGTGATCGCTGGCGCTACGCTCACCACGACGTTTTCGCCATAGGCCCACGGCATCTCGACACAGCCGCGCCGGCCGTCGGGGCGGGAGAACAGATGACGAATGGTGGGGAGCCGAGGAGGAGGGGAGTTCAGGTAGGTAGAGCAGAGGTAGGTAGGTAGGTACCCGGGGGGGAAACTATACATGGCGCTGCCGTCCCGCCGCCGAAGCTCGCTGCCGCAGACAGCCGCCATTTGTACTTGTGCGCGACAGCTGGAAGTAGGCCGGGCTAGGTACCCACGGCCGGCCAGGTACTTTACAGAGGTGGGCAGTGAGTTATCTGCCCACAGCGTACCTACAGCATAATACACTATCGGATAGGCCCGTCCAACAGCTCACGGGCCGAGCTGGTCGGATACAGACATATCTACCCTAGGCGTAGAGACGGGCGAATTGATATCTGGCCCAAGACAGCTCAGAGAGGCTTCTTCTTACCTGATATACCTAAGCCAGTAAGACACACGCAGAGAAACACAGACACACAGACCGGCAGAGGCAAGCGACCAAGATGAGTGCAGACGCCGAGACCTCAGCGCCGAAGAAGGCCAAGAAGAGCCTCGTGCTCAACGCCTTCGTGATGATGTGTGAGTCCGCCGGCCGACAACGTCAGAGAGCCTCCCGCCCCCCGGTCCGCTGACAACCCCCCCTTCGCTCTGTGACACCGCAGGCAGCGGCCACCAGTCCCCCGGCTTATGGCGGCACCCGGACGACGAGTCGTGGCGCTTCAACGACGTCTCGCACTGGGTCGAGCTGGCCAAGCTGCTCGAGGCGGCCAAATTCCACGGCATCTTCGTCGCCGACGTCCTCGGTGCGCTGTCCTTCCCCCCCCCCCTATTTGCTTTCGGTCCGCCCCTTAGGCATGTCCGCGTCCGGCTCGCTGACCCGGCGCGAGACAGGAGGCTACGACGTCTACACGGGCTCGCTCGACCCGGCCAAGATCTCCGGCGCCCAGTGGCCCGTCAACGAGCCGCTCTCCGTCGTCGCCGCCATGGCCGCCGCCACCGAGAGCATCGGCTTCGGCGTCACCGCCTCGACCACCTACGAGCAGCCCTACCACTTCGCGCGGCGCCTGTCGACCGTCGACCACTTGACCAAAGGACGGTGCGTCGCCGGCAGCCCCGCGTACCGGACGCATCGTGCACGTCGCTAACCGCGCCCCGCATCCCTAGGCTAGGTTGGAATGTCAGTCCGGCGCCCCCCGGCCGCTGCGCGATGCCCTTCCGTCGCGCACGCACCTACCTATGTGAACCGCCCCAGCTAAGCCACCGTCTTACCTAGATCGTGACCGGCTACCTGGACTCGGCCGCGAGGAACCTGGGCTTCGCGGAGCAACCCAAGGTGAGGCCCGGACGTCCCCGTCTCTCTCTCGCCCGCGACCTCCCGACCCCCCGTGTCGTACCTGGGTATTCTAACGGGGACCACCCACCCTCTTCGGTTGACAGCACGACGACCGCTACGCGCAGGCCGAGGAGTACCTCCAGGTCATCTACAAGCTCCTCGAGTCGTCCTGGCGCGACGACGCCGTGAAGCTGGACCGCAAGGCCGGCGTCTACACCCAGCCCGACCTCGTGCGGCCCATCAACCACCGCGGGAAGTACTTCACCGTGCCCGGCCCGCACATCTGCCAGCCGAGCCCCCAGAGGACCCCGCTAATCCTCCAGGCCGGCACGTCCCGCGCCGGGAAGCAGTTTGCCGCTCAGCGTGAGTTATTACGAGTTATCCACCCACCCAATTCTTTTTTTTTGAGCTCTTCGCCCAATTCCCTCTCATGGGCCGTCTCGCCAGCGAGGCTTTCCTTCATCGCCGCCCCGAGCGCTAAGCATTAACACACTTACTAACCCCTGAGCGGATGGCCCTCCCCCCCCCCCGAAAAAATAAGACGCCGAGGCCATCTTCGTATCCGCGCACGCGCCACAAGTCTGCGCGCGGAACATCGCGGAGGTGCGGGAGCTGGCGCGGACGCAGTTCGGGCGGGACCCGGCGCACATCAAGGTGCTGGCGCTGGTGACGGCGGTGCTGGGGCGGACGGAGGCGGAGGCGCGCGCGAAGCTGGCCGACTACCGGCGGTACGCGTCGGGCGAGGGCGCGCTGGCGCTGTTCGGCGGCTGGACCGGCATCGACCTGAGCCGCTACGGCGACGACGAGGAGCTGCGCCACGTCGAGAGCAACGCCGTGCGGTCGACCGTCGAGGGCTTCGCCCGCTTCGCCCCCGCCGTCGCCGCCGCCGGCGCCAAGTGGACCAAGCACACCATCGCCGAGCACGTCAGCATCGGCGGCAACGGCCCCCTCTTCGTCGGCACCCCCGCCCAGGTCGCCGACGCGCTCGAGGCCTGGGTCGACGAGGCGGACGTCGACGGGTTCAACTTTGTAAGCCGCCCCCTCCCCCTTTTTTTTTCCCTTCCCTCTCTCTCTCTCCCCGAATTCCGACGCCTCGACGCCAAAGCACATCCCACGTACGCGCCTTTCTCACACGCCGTCCTCTCACCCACCTTTATATATACATCATCTAGGCCTACGCGCTCTTCCCGCAGTCCTTCCGCGACATCGCCGAGCTGCTGGTGCCCGAGCTGCGCCGCCGCGGCCTCTTCTGGGACGACTACGCCGTGCCCGGCGGCACGTACCGCGAGAACTTCTACCGGAAGCCCGGGCAGACGGGCCCCCTCGACGAGCACGTCGCCGCGGCCTACCGCTGGAGGGCCGGCGTGCCCGCCGACCAGCACGTCATTCGGGATTGACTTGGTTCGTCGGTCGGTCGGTCGGTCTCTGAGAGGAAGGGTTGGGGGAGGGCGAGGGCGAGGGCGAGGGGGAAGGGGGGCGCGGAACCCCGAGACTATGTAGGATAGCAGGCAGGCAGGCAAATTCAAACGCTCCCCGATCCCCCCAAGAGGTAACTTGTCTCTATCTAAGCGGGGTTGGATTGATTTACTCCTTGATGATCGGCCGTGGTTTCGAAGCACGTATTTCCACGGCGGCCGTAGAAAATCGGGACTTTCATACGAGGCTTCCCCTTTAACCCCCTTTGTTCGGTCAGAATGCGTGTGACTGACGACTGTCTTCGAAAGCGAGGGGACAGAAGGACAATGGCAGCAATATAGGCATCACCTATGACCTATACGTGATCTAGACACCACATTCTCCAACTGAATGGCAATGGCTCTCTGCACCTCGACTTGCGCTAGCTAGCACTAATCGGCGGATTGCATCTACGCACCTCTACAGCCTACCTAGACTCGCCCTATGCCTCCCGATCCGTATCGAAGGATACGTATCCCCGCACGGACAACTAGAAAAGGAGGTTTCAAGGAGGACACATCTACGTGCTACCTGTACCTGTATCGTAGGGAGGGAGCCTACGACGATGCAGCGACGACGAGGATGGCGCGGATGATATGATCGCAGGACACGCCAGCCATCCTTGTCCTCTCCCTCCTTCACTTCTTGAACCACGGCACCGTAGGCCGACGGCAGGATACGAGAAATATGCCTGGCTCGATCACGCACGCGGGCGGGCAGTCTCGCACCAGGCAGCGAGATCTCCGCAGCAGGAGTAGCAGCACGGGGCCCGGCCCGTGGAGATAAGGGCATCGCAGGTATAAATATAGGTATATACGTGCGGACGCCAGCGTTGTTACGCTGCATTGCGCGAGCGAAACCCTGATTTCGTGCCTCTCCCTCTAGTAGCTCCCCTTCTAGACGAAGGAAGGAAGGATTTAATTTTTTCCTTATCTTTTCTTCTTCTTCTTCCTCTTCTTCTCTCTCTCTCTCTTTTATTTTCTTTTCGTTCTTCCCTTGGCGGAAGGGAACCCCGGGACGGTGGTTTCGAGAGCGCGCACCGCGATTGCGAAATGCTTACCTGCCTACAAGCGTACCTCCTATGCGCCACGCCACGCCACACGAGGGGGAAGGATGGGCCGGCAGCAGCAGAAGCAGGAGGAGGAGGAGGAAGAGGAGTAGACGGGTTTGCAGTAGTGGTGGTGGTGCTGGTGGGGAGGCTCGTTCTGCGTGCCACGATCGGTAGGAATCCCATCCCTACCAGTTGCAGGCCAGCCCCGGGCGCGCGAGGCCACGTCGGTTGGTGGTAGATCGTCCAGGAAGCCGATCCCCACGGCGCAGCAGCAAGCATAACAGCAGCAGCAGAAACAGTGGCAGCGGACTAATGGTGGTCCCACTCCCGTAGGAATTCGGCTGTCCCTGTCCTGTCCCGTCCTGTCCTGTCCTTTTTCAATTTTCTTTTCCTCTTCTGTCCTTCTCCCGTCTCTCGTCCTGTCTACTCTCGGCTTCCTTCGCGCCGGGAGAATACGGAAAGGGGAGGGCGGACAAGGCCGAAGGGAAGGGAATGAAAACATGTGCCCACCCGCCCGTCTCGGAGGGGGAAGGGGGGGCGGTCTTCCCAGGCGGTCTACGAAAGAAGGCCGCTCTGCGGCCGCGGGTCATCTTTCTCCTCTTCCCCCCCTCTCGCGGCCTCTGCTTTCTCTGCTTCTTCTCCTCCTCTGAGCTCGGCGTCTCAACCCACTTCGGCGGCCGCCCGCTCTGCAGCCACCGCGCCCGTTGTCCTACATCGTACATGCGCGCTAGGGGAAGCACCCCCCCTTCTCCCTCCCTAACCCCGCCAGGATAGAGAGAGAGCAAAGGGGGGAGGCAGGGAGCTTAGTCCGTAGGCATGGCATGGCGTTGGCGGCATGTACGCAGATTGTAATACACGGGAGCAGCCGGCATGATGATAGCGGAGGATGCAGTAAGATGGACCGTCAGATGGTAACGAGAAGGCAATGTCTCTCCGCATCCAGTAGTCTTTAGCGAGCGCCGTCGCGACCCCGTTGTTATTGTTGTTGTTATTGTTCTTTCTCCCCTCTCCCTCTCCTCCCCCCCCCCAGTCGAGCGATCGCGCCAACAACTCGGACTAGACAGGGTAGGCGAGGCGTCCTCGCTCGCGCCACCGTTCTGCCTTGGGCATTTCCCCCCCTTTTCCATTTCTTTTCCCCCTTCCCCCCGAAAGAAAAGGGAAAAAAAGCCACCCAAACTCCCCGATGCGTGCTCGTGAAAATATAGGCTAGGTAGCTATATCCCAACCAAAACGGGCGGGACAAAAAAATAACCGTGGCGGATGCCCGAAAAGGGGGAGAATCGAGAGCACCACGTCGTATTGCTCCTCGTCCCCGTTCTGCTTCCGGCACCCGCGCTCCTCTCGCTCCCCCCTTGTCTCCCGAGAGGAGAGACGCGAAGGGGACGAGAGAGGGCGAGAGATGACGATCTGCCTCTGTCCGGGGGGGCGCGGACGGGGACGAGGGGAGGAGACTCGCGACGTCGGCTCTGGCGCTGGATCTCTCCTGCAGGCCAAGTTCAGGCCGGGCTCTGCGCCAGCGCCGTCTATTATTGTCCTTCTCTCTCGCGCTCTCTCATTCCCTCTCGCACGCGCACGGTGGCAGCCGGCAGCAGAATGAAATGAGCGCCGGCGTGGCGAGACGTGGCGTATGAACCAGACGTTTGTGCGCCTGCGTACGCAGGCAGGTCCGTAGGTCTATAGGCATTGTTGGGATGCGCGTACGTGCCCACTACCAAGACAGCTTGAACTACGGCTCGAGACGCGCCGCTCGGCTGAGCCTCATCTCGTGTCTGGGCGGTTGAGAAGGGCAGGGTAGATATGTAGTGGGACGCCGAACGCAGATACCTTCCCTCCCCTTTCTGGCTCTCGCATGCTCTCGCGTACGGTGAGGTGCCTCTAAGGACACCCTCTGGTTCCCGACGTGCACACCGTCCACCACCGCCATCATCATCGCCGTCCTGCACCTCCCAGACGACGACGACGGCTAACCGGCGCCGAGCCTTTTTTGGGGGGTTTTTTTTTTTTGCGCGCAGCCCCCGATCCAACCCAGCTCAACTTCAGCAGCTCTCCGCGCGCGCGCTTGTCTACATAGAGTAGTGGGTGAGTAAGCCATCGACGCCACCTACGACGCGCCGGAAACGACCGAATTGGAGGGGATTGGGGAGGAGGGGACGCAGGCCGGGGTTAGGGCGGGCCAGAAGAAGAGCGAAGACACAGCGTCGTATTCGTGCCATGTACGTTGTGTTTCAAACATATTGATCCGATTAAGCGGCACTCGCGCGGAAAATACCCAGAGGGAGAGGGAGGGAGGCCGGGGGGGTGGATGGTGGGTGAGAAAAAAAAAAGGAAAGGAAAGAGAAAAAGGAAACAAAACAAAACAAAGACACAGGAGATACCCACGCGCGCAGGTGCATGTGCATCGCAGACGCAGACGCAGATACGCACGCACGTAGGCATAACCACATACACGGGAGAGACAGCCAGCGACGGAGAGAGAGGGAGGACGCAGTACCGGGGAGACAGGTAAGTAGTTGGTAGGTTGGCCGGCTTAGATTCTTGGATTCTTAGTATGCAGGTAGAGGAAGGGGGGGGGGGGGGGGGAGAGATGAGGATTAGCATGACCTCGGCCCTCTCTCTCGCTCTCAATTCTGCCTCTCACCCTCCGCGTTCTGCCTCCTCTCGACTCTCGTCGCGCGTCTGCCCCGCCGTATCTACCTCCCCTCCCCTCCCCTCTCCCTGCCGGCCGGCCGCGCGCTCGAGCGGGTAGGGTCGCCGGCGAATCGAGAACGCGCGCGGATTGGAGGGGATAGGGGGGGCTGCAGCTATGTAGGTAGGCATGTGTATGCAGTCAGCGTCTCATGCCGGCCGCAGGCCTCGCAGCGTAGCAATCTCGTACTGTTGGGGAGAAGGGCCAGAGGGAGAGGAAGGGGGAGGGGCCGACGCTTGCGCGGTTTAGACGTAAACATCCCTCTCGCTCTCTCTTGGCGTGTCTTTCTCTTGGTTCTTCGCTCTTCCAGCGTGTACGTGGACGCGTGCGCGCGAGTATGTGTGAGTGGAGGTACGGATGTGTGTGTGTGTGTGTGTGTGTGTGTGTGTGTGTGTGAGAGAGGGGGGAGAGAACAGCAGGGCAGGAGAGGGAAGAGGAGGGGGGAGGGACGGGGAAGCGACGAAAGGGCCACGGCATTGCCGCATAAGAAAACAAGAGTGGCGGGTGCATCGACACTCGGGTCGCCGAAGCGGCCGCATCGCGGCCGGGTTTCCCTCGGCCAAGGAATGGCGAGGTAGAAAAGGGGGTGAGAGAGACATGGAGAGAGAGAGTGTGTGTGAGAGAGAGCGCTGAACCAAACCGAACCGGCTGTTTTTCTTCGCGTTCCGATGCTGGACGAGCCGGGCCAAGTTATGGCCAACGATAGTAGAAGAGAACGGCAGAGGCAGGAAGGTAGAAAGAGAAAGATGGAGGACGGAGACGAGAAAGGAGGAAAATACGGTTATTTCGGCTGTTTTTTCTTTTCCCTTGTTACCGCTGTTACATAAGTAGGCAGGTCGGTCGGTACCTAGATATGCAGGTATATTATGTACGGTTAGGGCCCTTGGTGACGCTGGCAAGGATAGCGATGCTCTCGTTTTCCTGGGCCCGTCTTTGCCAGCAAGTGCTGAGTGCCCCTGACGACGATCGTCTCTCTTGCTCTCTCGCTCCCACCCTGTGCGGGCGTGCGTCTCCCTCGTTCTCTCTTCCTCTCTACACCGGCAACCATGGCTTCTCGAACGACCGAAAGGGGAAATGCCACCCGTTCTGCTGGCCCGTAGTCCGGCCGGGAGCCCGCCTACGTAGTAGTAAGTAGGTAGGGAAACGACAGTTAATACTTACTTTCGTAGTCGGCGTCCGTTGGGATGACTGAGGAGGGGGGGGGGGGGGGGGTGTTGTGGGCATGGCACGCGACTTGGCATTGTACAGGGGGAGGGGAGGGAACAGGCGAAGGCTATAAATAAATGAGACTTATGTATATGTTTGTAAGTGCGTAGGCACTAAAGCACGAAGGCAGAGACACGGGGCGAGAGGGCACGGAAGTACGAGGAAGTAAGGGAGGGAGAGAAAGCGGCAGACAGAGGGCGAGAGACGGGTGGGTGGAGGTATGTAGGTAAGTAGGGTAAATATGCAGGCATGTAGAAGCATGTAAGAAGAGAGGTGACCGATTCTGGTTCGAAGGAGTTAGGCGTGCGCTCAAAAGGGGATCGGATCTGCGACGGCTTCCTGAATACCCGTGTCGTCATGTCATGCCATGTCCAGCCGCTACTGCGAGTCATCATGCGTCTGTCCAATGTCGACGATGTGGTGGTAGTGGTATTTCCAGTCTGGTTGCGGTAGCGGCTATATTGGGAGGGATCGTTGCATTAGCAGAAGCGCCGCCCAACGTCGCAGACGATCAGAAACAACTCGCGTGCTCTGGAACGAGGTCTGCGAGGCCATCTCTTTCTTCTCGCTCTCTGTCTGTCTCTCTGTATGTCTGTGTCTCTCTCCCTCTGCAGGCAAGTCTCACTCACCTAAACCCCGGTCCCCGTTCCCGCCCCCGTCCCCCGTCCCCGTCCCCATCCCTTGTTCCCTATTCGTATCCCTGAGCTATGTATGTATACCTATGTGTATGTATTTGAAATAGGTATGTAAGAGGTAGCAGACATGCAGAGGTAGGTAGGTAGTAGATGCGTGTGCGCGTACGTACGCGCGTACATACACACGCTACCCACCCCCCCTCTCCGTCCGTGTGTCCACCATGCCGTCGCCAGGGGGCCAAGGTAAGGAGCCTTAGCGAGCGGCTCGAGAATCTCACCCCAATCCCGTTCGGTGGAATGGACACTTCCCCGTATGGCTGGATGTGGGGGGCAGCAAGCTCGGCACTGCGCCCACGGTGTGTCCGATTCTAGTGCGATCCATGTGCTCACCCCTGCTTTGCCCCTAAGCGGAAACAACACCGCCGGCCGTGGCCATCGAGGAGGCAGACGTCTTGAAGCCATCGAAGCTTGTTTCTAGGCATCCGCCGCGACAGCGCCCAAAAGGGATGCCTCGTCAGGGTTATCCCGGCACGAATCTGGTCCCCTTCGAGCACGCCAGATGCCTCGCGTTTCCGAGTTCTCGGTTGGCGAGATACCTAATTACCCCTTACTTCCCAAATCGGCGTACCCCCCCCTCCCTCTACTCATATAGTCCAGCCATGTACGCATGCGTGCCTTAGAGCTTACTGCTGCCTACCCACCTATGATGCGAGAGAGCCCGCGACTTTCCTCGACCGTATACAGCAGCGCGTATTAGCCTTACGGACTAATAATAGTAGACGTCCGGGGGGGGGGTGGCGATCGGGCTGACTGATAGGCTGACCGGCTCGCTGAATTCCTTCCTGGGGATGAGAGAACGCCGTCGGCGGGGAACAAGCGAAGATCTAACCCGATCTTGGGCACGACCGATCCATCCTCGTAAAACGGAACCCCCCCGTTTTCTCCCCTAGCTCCCTCCCCCTCCCCTCCTCTCCTATATACGACCCTACCTGCGTCGTTCGCCGTTACATAACCGTTTTGGGATGAGGTGCGATGTTATGAAGAGGAGGTAGAAGGGCGAGGAAAACAGAAAGAGAGAGCGAGAGATCGGGTTTATCCCCCCACTACCTCCCTAGCTCCTGTTCTGCTTCCAGTCTCTTCTCCCCTTCACACCTACACATATCTTCCTCATTCCCCCGAGGTTCGGAGACCAAAAGGGGACGAGGGAAACGAGAGAGAACTCGTCGAGTGTCGTCGTCTCCAGCGGCTGGGGCGCGTGTGGGCGCGAATCAGTGCGCAACAAATTCATGTCAGCCGTCTGGCGCGCGGGTAAATTGCCAGCCAGTTTAGAAGCCTCCCGGTCTTCGTTCTTCCTGGTCCCTTCTATCTTACCCTCCCTCCCCTCCCCCCCTTATTGTGCAGCCAGCCGGCTCTCCCCCTCGACCCCCTCCCCCCTCCCCCCTCCTCTGTGCTCCCCCGACGACCTGATTATCCAGCCGCCAGCGCGTGGGCGCCCGGAGGGTCGGGCAATACACCGCAGGGTGCCTAACCTCGGCGAGCAGTAGCTACCTATCTAGGTAGGTAAGGTGGTAGGCTGATCGCGGTTGGTTCCCGTGGTCGTGGATATGCTCGCTCTGGTTCTCCTTTTTCTGCCATCGCTGCTACGTCGGCGACGCGCAGGTGCCTCCCTACCTAGATCTCCGTATGGCCTGGGTCAGGCCGTGGCGTCTTCTTTCCTTCTCGTAGCCTACCGCATCTGCTTGTCCCATTCTCCGGCCGCCGCGGCCCAAGTCGGTCAGTCCCTCGAGCAGATGGCGTGCCATCCCCCAAAGACCTTCTTCCTCTGGTTCTCCTGCTCCTTTCCCCGACCGATCAACCGAGCCCCGAGCGATCTGATTTCCGCACGCGCGTGGAGGCGGCGACGATGGTCGTTGTCGCCGACGTGCAACTCGAAGCGAAGGGGTTCGTTCTACCTAGACCTCCCGTCTCGTGCCCGCCGTTACCCACCCTTCCCTCTGTCTGCCTTCCTGCCGTGCAACACACACGGCGCGCCCTATAATAAGTAATTGCACATCTTTCTCTCCCTCCTCCGCCTCCCCTCCCCTCCCCTCCCCTATCATCCCGAAGGCGCTTGCGATCCGCGCCGTAAATCAGATTTTGTTATTTGCTTTCTCTCTTTTCCTTCTCCCCCTTCTCGGTCCCGCTGTTGTATCTCCTTCCCGCCCAAGCCCCTCCCCCTGTTCACCCTCCCGTTCCCCTTGTACGTGGCACGGGATGGGCGGCTCGAACAAATGATTAAATGCCCGATTAACGTGGCCGAGAGACGGCGATGACCAATCGCGTTGTTGTCAAATAACGACGCCGACGCGAGTAAAGGAAAGAAAACAAATGGAGGATTTTGGAGAAGAGGGTGGTGGACCAGCCGATCATGACGCGGCTATGTAACACTTTGGGTATTCTCGTGCGGAAAGCTCTTGATGTCCATCGAGTCCACGTATGTCTCGAAGGAAGCCGTTTCCTACACATAGGAATTCCGCACGGGTGAATGTGTTATGGGACAGAGATGATGGTAGATGAGTTCGTCGTCGGACTGACGCTAACCGTGCTTCTTATGAAGCCGCATTGTATTTATACACCACATGTCTAGTAACCCCTCCTCCCGTCCCCAGCCTCGGGATGCCTATCCTCGCTCGCTCACTCTCTCCCTCAATTCGACTCCCTCTCCCCTTTTTTCACATGTTTTCTATTGTATTGTACATGCTCATGCATACCATACTGCCCAAACGACGAAATAACTTGCACCCAGAAACTCCAGGTCCTCTTTTCCCAGCCCGTTTCTCCGCACCATAGAATGCTTTAAACCCCGTAGTGTCCCCGATGTATGCATGTGGTTTTTTTTTGATACAAATGCTTATTAGTTACAGCAAAATTGGGATAACTGGTCGTCAGAACCAGACCAAGCCACCCTGGACTGTGTGGTAAACAGTTCGTGTGTGTATGTGTGTGGGTGAATGTGAATGTGTATGCGTCGAGAATTAGCGTGTCGGCCTTGGCTTTTACGCCTTGTGCCTGCGATCGCCTCGTCTAGTCCAAGGTTTTGAGGGGGGTAAGGGGGGGGGGGAGAATGTGGAAAAGATGAATTCTGTCGATAGTTAAATTGACAGAGGCAAATGCTGAAAATGACCTCGTTGCTCCGAGCACAAGGGAAAATAAAACAAAAAGATCCCCGAAAGCAAAGACGAAATGGCAGACGAAAAGAGGAACGGATCGGCGCGAAAATGAATAGAGATCGTTTCGAATACTTTAGCAGGATGCATGTGTTAATATCCGGTCTCGAGAGGCTGAAACACCAGCGGACGCCATTCACGTATAACTGCGCCCTTAATCATTTTCTCGTCCAGGGCCCAGGGGACCCGGGGCAGATCCTGGCCCCGAAGTCCCTCCACGCGACCTTTCATCCGATGCCACCGGCGAATTTCGTCGCTCGCTCTCGCCCCGCTGCGGCCTCATCTCTGACGCGTACCGCGGCGATGGTTGATCGGATAATAGGGATGAAACCGAATGGGCCGCGCTCCTAGATTGCTGTGATGATTCAGCTACTGCCGTCTCTCTCGACGCGCCGAGGCTGGGTGAGAGCCTAGGATGCGGAACAAATCCCTCAGTTCGGCCGCGCCCCATGGACCGGTAGGACGAGATGTCGCTTCCCTGTCGCGAATGACCTCGTCGGCGGCCAGGCGGCGGGTTTGGCAACGTCGACGGTCCGCCGTGTTGCCCGAGAGGTGGAGATCTGAAGCGCGTTTGAGTCGGCGGAGGTGCTGGTTGCTGGGGACCGGTCGCTTTTCGTTTCTTCGGCGAGTCCACTAATTCTCGAGAGGCAACATTAGCCGAACAGATTTTTTCTCATCTCTTACTTGCTGGTTTTGGATTTGGACAAACCAGAAGGCGTTCCTGGCTGGTTAGAGCCTCCCTGCGTAGATGGTGGTTGCCAATGGTGGAAGTAGATCGAGGGCGACTGTGTATCCTGTTGCGGCGCCGCAGCCTGCTGCTGTGCCAGTGCGTGCCCTGGATGAGCGATGCCGGACGGGCCGGCAGCTCCTTCGCCGGTGCTTATTCTAGGGAGGGCAGAACCGGCCAACGGCCTCCCCACGGCGCTGCCTACGCCCATCGTGTGCGCGCGTGGCCGCGCTGGAGAGCCCGGCCCCTGATAGGAGACGAAGCTGGGCTGGGAGCCGGCTCCGGCGCCCGGCGTCGAAGGAACGCCTACTGAGCCGCCGTACTGCTGTCCCCCATACTGCTGGGACTCCCTTCGGCTCTCCGGCGACAGCGCCCCTTGAGCGGGCATGATCTGTGCCGGATGTGCTTGTTGCGGTGCTAGATATTGCTGGGCCAGTTCGACGGCGACCTGCGAAAGTGTTCCACCACCCATCCCAGCGAAAACTATGGGCACCATCGCCGGTGGTATGCCCCTGTCTAACGACGTTCTGAGCATCTCAAACTCGAGCTTCCTCTGCTCCAGACGCAGCGATTCCTGCCGTGTTTTCTCCTCTTCCTGCCTCCTCTTCTCCTCCTCAGCCTTGGCCACCAGCCAGTTTCTCATCGAGTCTTCCGAACCCGGATGCTGAGGCGGCCCAGGCAACGCACCGAGAGCCTGGCCTAGCTGAGGAGGCGCTGGTGCTCCCTGGGAATGCAGAGACGGCCCCGGGGCTGCCGGGTGAGGAGGGCCCGGAGCCGGCGGCGGCGGTTGAGTTAGCGTCATGGCTGCCGGGAGAGGCAGGCCACGGTGAGGTGCGGACATGGGCTTGGTAGATGGACTCTGCTTCTGGGGAAGAGTAGCAAGTGATTTCTGGTACGAGTCCTGAACAGTCAGGGGGGGCGAGGATCGAGGCGGCGTCGGTAGGTCATGGACAGGCCGGTACCCGTGATGAACTGGCTGGTTGGCTGTGAGCATCATCTCGAAAGTGGGCGTGAAGAGGGATTAGGCGGTGGCATGGGGACGCATGCTAGAGAATGACAAATAGAGAAGAAGGCGGCAGAGTGGGAGGGTGTAGGTGAGGGCGAGAAGGTGGTGAACAACCTTTGCATATGAAAGCTGGAGAGGACGGCCAGCTTAGTAGAAATGGGACAGGATGAAATCGGGGCTTATGGTACTTTTGGATCCCAAAGCCCAGCCTCATTTGAAGATCGGTGTTAGACGCATGGGTGGTAGTCTAAAAGGATGGACGGGGGGGGGGGGGTTGAGTCGTGGTGGTGGAGGAGGAGGAGGAGGAGGAGGGAGTGGTGGTGGTTTGTTGCGTAGTATTTTAGGCGTTGCAACTGGACGCACGCCGACACAGCAGCAGCCGAAGGACCCCGGACGCTTGGGAGGATCGATGCCCAAAGTAGCTCTAAGTCTCGGGAAGAACACAGTAGACTAGATCTTGGAACGGGACGGTAGTGTGAGCTGGTGAACAGATTCTGCCACTCGAGGCCGATTTAGGTAATGCCCGAAGCGGAAAGTAAAGATTGTTGCTGCGTGTGGAGAAAGCGAGGGCCTGGCTTATCTTGAGAAGTAATGCGTACGGAGGTGTCTGGCTCGAAAGATTCCACGCATGAAGAACGGGAGAAACGCACGCAGAAGGTTGACGTAGCTATAGCGAGAGAGAGCGAGAAAGAGCGAGAGAGAGCAGAAAGAAGAGGAGGGAGAGGAAGAGAGAGAAGCCAAGGGGAATCTTAGCGTAGATAAACTAGATAAAATGGCCTCCTAGCTTGATTTTATCCAAGCGGTAGACTAGAGCCGCTCAAAACAAGAGGCGAGAGGAGCACACGCTGTCAAAGGAGGCGTCGTCTCGACAAGCTAGAAAGCGGCTTTTTCACACGAATGTAAGTAAGTGGCTAGCGTTGCTAATGGGAAGAAGGACAGGAAACCGAGGCGGGAGACGAAGCTGTCGAATGGCGAGCTCTATAGTCAGAGAGAAGAGAGCTGGGCTACGCAAGGGTTTGTTAGTTTCGAAGTCGAAGCAGAAGAGCGAGTGGCTGAAGTGTCGATAAGCCGTGCCGGGGGGGGGAGAGGGGAGAGGGGAGGGGAAGCTTTCTTTCCACGCCACTAGACGGGCAAGGCTGATGGGGAGCTGTTTAGTACCAGATCAGTACAGATCCAACCGGGCCTGTCCTTGCTCTCTCCCTCCCTTCCCTCTCTTTTTTTCTTTCTCTCTTTTTCTTTTCTCTCTCTATCTCCCAGGGTTGAAGAGCCCTGAATGCCACGGGAGGACAGGGTTTCCCGTCCGACCTTGGGATGGCGTGTTTATAGGGCTAGTCTGGCTTTTCTCCCTCCCCCCCTCCTCTCTCCGCCGCAGGTCCCCTTTTCTAGCACTAGTCAACAAGAGAACAATCCGCTCTACTCCGTTTCGAGGACTCGTCTGGAAGGAAGCACAGGCCGGGGTGGTCGACTTACCATGCAGGGTCGATCCCTCGACGTCGGAAAAAGAATGTGAAGGGGGATGCAAGAGTGACGAGCGAATCAGCGAGGTGAGTGGGGGGGTGAAAGTATTAGCGAAGCGGCTATCTAGCGTGTTCTACGAAGGTAGCGTAGTGTGTAGGTAGGAGTGTAGAGTGTAACTTGGGCCTAGGGAGGGAAGAGAGGCGGATGGATGGGATGGATGGATCGGGGATGGATTTGGGGTGGAGTTCTGAGGAGGGAAGAAGACATCAACGTTAGGGCGCATACCTACATTGCATAATAGGTAGCTACCTACATACGGAGGTAGTACCGACCATACATATGTACCTTGTCTGCCTTGGGTACATACCTCCTTACTCATAGAGAATATAACCCCCTCTTGGCAGGACGGGCACATATGCAGGTAGGGATATATATGTACCTACGCAGGCAGATGCGTATATGAGGTAGGTAATAGTGAGGCACTCGCTCGTTCCCTCACACTCGCACTCCCACGGCATCCTCCCTAGCACACGGAAAGGTACGTATAAGACGAAAACAGGTCATTACGGCGCCAAGTACATACATGCCGGGACAGAGCGAGAGAATATATGAGAGACAGACAGACCGACACAGTCCGGTGTAAAACGTGTCAGAGGAGTTCCAGGCCTGGGGCAGGGAGCGGCACAGGAAAGAAAGAAATCCTCGCGAACAAATCTAGAACGCTGCCGGGGGGGGAGTGGCCCCTCCCCTCTCTTCGTAGGTGCATATTATTTTAGTCCGTAGCACGACGAGGAACTGGCGACCTACATAGGCAAGTTGACACGCGGATGCGTCCTAATACGCTGCGTGGCAGTACTCTAGGCGGGATATGCACCAGGCGGGGCGCGCATGCGTGCAAGGTTCAAGGCCGCCTTTCTTCCTCAATGTTGCTGAGCAGGCCTGGCTAGGTACGTACCTATTCTCAGCTAACCTCCTCACGCGGAGCCTTGACCTAGCCGGCCTACCTAGGTACTGCCCCGGTATACGTGCGTCTGCTAGCCCGTCGAGCGGATAGACCGACCGCCGGGAGGCACTGGTATGCAGGTATGCAGGTATGCATGCATGTATGTATGTGTGTATATAATGTATGTACGTACTAATGGATGTATGCACGTACATCAAACACACCCAGCGCCGAACTTGGTCCCAAACTAGGAAATCAGCGGCACCGTCAGCAGCTGAAAAAGTGGAGTTGCCTGTCCCAAGTACACATTAGGTCGTGCTGTGGTCAAGCTTCTAACATGCTCCTCTCCTATCCATACCTACCTCATTATTCATACGGGCATCCACCCCGTGCCTACATCCATCCACCCACACACATGCATCTTCGTGTGCCCGGTGTCCGTGTTCGATTTGTGAGCACGCCCCACAGCGGTCTGCCTCGTCCGTGTACTCTGTATATGTATCTACGTATGTACCTACGTCCTCTGCTTCTCGAGGTTGGAATGCCAAGCCTGGTAAGGTAGACGCGGCTGCTTGCCCAGCCGAGGTCTAGGCAAGGCAGTGTTTGACTCAGGCCAGAGAGTACGTGCGGGTGTGTATGTATGTGTATGTGTATGTGTGTGTGTGTGAGGGGGGGGGGGGGGAGCAAGACAGGAAGGGTGGTAAGAGGAATTGCTTGGGCAGGTTGTCTGCTAATAGGGGCAGGTCTGCTTTCGATGTATACCTGCCTACATGCCTACATACCTAGTATATCTTGCGCGTAGACGGGCCACAACAAATAACGGGCAGTCCCCTTCTCCCCCGTAAACTGACTGACGATATTTGCCCCTGACGGATGCTGGTGTGGTGTGCAGAGGTGCTGTATGTGGCTATGTGTATGTACAGAACCGGCCTGCTTGGACCTTTTCCTACATGCCCGGTACCGGGTCAAAGGCTTACTGAATGCCTTTTTATACCGTGTCTTACTGTACGGGATCCCCGCTGACCCTGACTGTCTTAGCGTATGATGCAGGCGTGTTTAGGTCTGGCTGTGTGGGTGCGTCTGGTCCGTAGGCGGTATGTCCTACGAATGCAATGCAAGTGTGTATCGGTCTGCATGGAAGAATGCCACGCCCCCTCGACTGGATGGCATGCGGGTAGCGTATGTGCGTATGTTGTAGGTGTATATGCGTGTTGGTGTATACATAAGTAGGTAAGTAGGAGGAGGTCCAGGTAGGTAGGCAAGCCATGCAACGAGGTTGCGAGAACGTCACTCCCGCCGGCTGTATAGGGTAGGTAGGTATATACGAGCATCATATCATATATAAGCGTCGTTTGGGAATTTTGTGCAATGCAACCTAGCCTTTTATGAACCTATCGCCTCCTAAGCTTGTGCGTGCTGCGTGTGAGGGACGGAGCTTTACTCTGAGGGACGCAAAAGGATGCACGAGACTGGAACTCCGGCTCCTGATATAAGGTACTACGTAATCTTCTAATATGCTAAGACTGTATGTATGCACATACCTACATATATGTATGTAGGAGGTACGTGGAGACAAAAAGCGAATATGCATAATTGCGGGGTCAGCTGTACAGGCTAAGCAAGGGTTGTGGTCTATGTACCTACCTCATAGCCATGTACAAGGTACCTACATATTCTCTAACCAGGCCTTGTCCCGAAGACTCGACAAAAGTCGGACAGTGCCAGACGTGAAATATTCCCGATCCCGCAGCAAGCTTGATAAACACGCACGCGCACGAGGGGGTCCCGAGAAAAAATCCTGGCAGCTTGGCAGCTGACTTCCTCTTTGGACGATCAGCATCGTACATCATGCCGATGTAGTGAGATCAGTCAGTCCAGGTAAGGTTCGGTGGGCAGGGGGGAGGGAATCGCGATAAATAACAATAAACAACACAATACGAACAACAGTAATACATCATCAACTTAGATTATCCGCCGCCGCCGCCGCCGCCGCTGCTGCTGCTGCTGCTGCCGCTGATGCGGGCTGGTGAGGTTGGCTTGGGAGCTGCCTGGACAATCTGCAAAGGTAGCATTTCATTACCCAATCCCTCCCCTCTTACACGCCTAGACAATGCATACACGTACGTACGTACATGAACGAAACCATAGCTTGGTCGAGCTGTCGAGACACGGGGTTCCTAAATGGAAAGGCAAGACAGGACGAGTTTCCCGAACAGCAGTTGGGTAGCGAACGAGACGAGTTAAGACGACGGGCGTAGGCAAGGCGCCGTATGGTTTCGCCTCCTCGCAGCCCTTGTCAGCAATGTTTCAAAGTGAACCCGATCAGGCAATTCGGCCTCTTATACGTCGACGTTTCGACTGAGTCCGAAAACTGGGGATGGCTCGGGGAATTGGAGGACGGCTGCAATAGGGTAGCAGTCACACATGTATTGGCATAGATTGCGCCGACTTTCCAGAGTCGCTCAGTTCGGTCGACAGCTCCAGGGAGAGTGGTCGATACCTCGTCTAAATCCGACCTGCGAATGCGAACCGCAAATGGCACCAGTTCCTCCTCCGAACCCCTGAAACGCCATCGATCACGCACTCTGCGACCTACGACAGGGTTTCTTGCTCCGAGTGCCGGGGGTTGACAATTATGTCGAAATGAGGAAAGGCGGTCGATGTGTGAGAGATGTGTAAGATGCGAAGCATCATCACCTAGGTAGGTACTCAGGTCGACGAGTAGAAGGGGGGGGAGGAGGCGGGATGGCGATGGAGAGGGAGAGGATGGGAAAGGAGGAGGAGGAGGAGGAGAGGGAGGGGCGAACGCAAACAGCGTAGACACGCCTCCAATTAGTCACAAGGTTGATGGAGAGGCAGGTTGCCATCTGTGGGAAGGCACAGTTGTCGA